AAATAATGAATAGATGGAAAGAATATTTTCAGGAGCTTCTCAACTTTAATTCCCACATATTGCATCTCGACGAACACTCCCCTTGTCAAAACCTTGTACAACCTATAACAACAGAACAAGAAATAATCACATGCATTGCCTCAAGCATATGAAAAACAACAAAGCTAGGGGTCCAGACGATATTCCAATAGAAAGCCTTAAAGCACTAGGAGATGATGGAATACATTTCCTCACAAATCTATGCAATGAAATACTTGGAAATGAAGAGGTTCCCCAAAAATGGAGGCAGAGCTATCTAGTTCCTATCTTCAAAAATAAAGGGGGTCCACACAATTGTCAAAATTACAGGGGCATAAAACTAATGTCACACTGTCTAAAACTATACGAAAAATAATAGAAAAAAGATTAAGAGACATATTCGAAATAGGAGAGACTCAGTTTGGCTTTATGCGGAAAATCAACAACTGAGGCAAATGAGTGAAAAATATAGGGAAAAGAACAAAAAACTACACATGGTCTTTCTCGATTTAGAAAAGGCCTTCGATAGAATCCCAAGAAAACTTATCTGGTGGGCGCTACGCCACAAAAAAGTTCCCGAAAAATATATAAGAATAATACAGGATATGTATATGGGGCATACAACAATGGTCCATAGCACAACAGGTACTTCAGCAGGCTTCACAATAGCCGAAGGAGTTCATCAAGGGTCGGCTCTCAGCCCACTTCTTTTCATAATAGTAATAGATGTATTAACACAGTCTATATCACAAACAGTCCCGTGGGATATGATATTTGCAGATGATATTGTGATACTTGCCGAATCCAAGGATGAAATGAAAGAAAGGTTAGTGAATTGGATAAATATCCTAGAAACGCACGGATTAAAAGTAAATAGAGAAAAGACGGAGTATATGGTGATAGGAGGAGATGAAACGGAGAGTATTGATATAAATGATTGGCAGATATCCGCAATTGAAAGCTGCAAATATTTGGGCCTAAACAAACGGCACAATAGAAAAAGAGATAAAGAGTAAGATTAATCAAGGTTGGTTAAAGTGGAGATCTTTATCTGGAGTGCTATTTGACAAAAGAATCCCACACAAATTAAAGGGAAAAATTTACAGTTCCATAGTACAACCAACTATTCTATATAGTTCGGAAACATGGCCAACCAAAGAATCAGACGAGAGAAGTCTACAAACTATGGAGATGAGAATGCTGAGGATGATTGCTGGGGTAACAAGAAAGGATAAGGTGCGCAGTACAAGAATACTAAATAGTTTAAAGGTAGTGCCCATTAAGACTAAGTTAATGGTAAACAGACTTAGGTGGTATGGGCACACAATGAGAAGGCCTATGAACTACATAGGAGGGCAAACGTAAAAGAGGAAGGCCAAAACTTCAATGGGGCCATAAAGTTAGAGCCAATATAAAGAAGTATAAAATAGATAAAAGAGATTGTATTAAAACAAAAAGTGGAGAGAGATGTTGAAGGAGCTTACCACCAGAAAAGGTGAAAGTTAAAGAGAAAAAAAAATCTAGACCTTCACATGTCCATTTTGAATTTGCGTGTCGACCACCAAATAAGAGACATGTTAAGCAAAAAACTTTATACATTTTAATACTATAAGTAATCCAATTTCTAGGAATTTTGCTATTGTCAATATTGGTTAATATTTTTAGGCATATTTTAAAATTCGAAAAATAATTTATGACAAGAAATTTCGGATAACAAATTTACTAAGCATCGACCAAAATTTCCGTCAATATATTAAATTAAATATTAATTGGGGGGGGGGGGGGTCTTATTGTTACATTTATCAACCAGAAATCACATGATCATGATGGATGTAAAAAAAAAAGTACCCCCACTCAAATTTACTGAAGCAGTTGCTTCGGACCCCCTTCCCCCCCGTTGTAGAGGCCCCTGCATGAACATACTTACAAAATAAAAATATTAATGACAATTACTTTTAGGTTTTTTTGAGATTATAATAGCTACTAGATTTATTTTAAGGATATATTTTTCCTATATTTTAAGCTTTTACATTATTGAAAATATTTTTCAAATTTTGGAAATAGGAAATTTGTATTATTGTTATCAAGAACATTTTCTTCTAGAACACCTTCCACTTCATCAATATTATCATTGTCTGACTCACTTACATCGATTTCAATAACCATTTGCGAATTTTAAATAATTTACACACGATGATTTAGGTTTTTAATACAAATTGAAAATATAAATTACAATTTCAAAATTAGATATCATAAAAATTATAATTAATTATATTCTATTTAACTTTTCATGTATTTAAAAAATTCATTATAATTTTTAAGTATTCATAAAAGGAGAGCGCTAAATATATAATAATTGGAAAAATATTAGCATGATATTAGTTAGTTATCGCTACCAAAAAAGATAGGTTATTTTTATTTGTCGAATTTAGTTGGCGAATAGATTTGCCAACCGGTAATCCTTTAACTCATATTTTTGTTTCATGTTTTATTAACATCCAAATCATTCATTAATTCTTTTTTTCTCTTTTTTTTTATTGAGAAGTGATAGAAAATCTATTTATTAAGTCACACTAGTAATATTAATTTAATATTGGTGAAAACTGTCAATTCTGGAAATTCTTCCTCAAATCAGTATGCTCAATTAAATTTCAGCATCATATTGAAGAGCATTATTTAGAAAACACACATCAAATATGCAAATGCAAAATGTCACACATTATAATAGCACAATTAACTGTAGAAATCAACAAAGTACTAAATATCTAAACTATAATATAGACCTTAAAAGGGTTAAATGCATAATAAGTATCATTCTATCACTCTTTTTCTCGCTAAATTAAGGCAATTACGTATGTTGCCAGTAGAGGAATGCAAATGACTGTTACTTAAATAAAATACTATATTGATTACAAGAGGATCAGAAAATAATGGAATTAGATAACCATCAACGAGTCGAAAGTTCACTCCTTTTACGACAAATTTGGATATAAAGATAATGGAGTATTATTTTAAATTTTTTATTTACATTTATTGACCGAAATTTTAAAAAATTTGAGCCGGGCTGTGCAATTGGTACCACTGCAGGTCTCTTATACATATTCAAGTTTACTTATGATTTAGATGAATTAATATTAAAAAAATAATTTGAAAAGTTGAACATAATTTCACTTTTTGTTAAACTAAGTATTTAACATATTGGTAAAAGGTTTTTATAAAGCTAAGTAGTATAATAAATTGGGCAAAAATCTTAGTCATGATGATGCCCAAATTAGACAGTTTTGGCTGTATATGTTAGTGTTATTAATCGGTTAAGAGCCAAGTCTTGGATCGAAATAATCTACCCCAAAGACTCGAGTTGTGAACTCAGTTCCTAAACAGTAATTATGAACTCGAATCCTGAACTCTAAGTAAGCTAATTATTTTTATTTTCCTTATTTTATATTTAGATAAAATTAAGAATGCGGGAATACTTGCCTATATTTTAGTAAAAACCCTCATTATTTTGAATAAACGCCGTTTTTTCGGTAAAGGCCTTGATTTTTTAGTGAACTTGATTCGTTTGAATCAGCACTAAAATAGGATAAAAACATATAAATAATTTAGATTTCGCATCTTTATCTAACCAATCATTTAGCCTGGTCAAAATATTGTTTTTATTTACTTTACTCCTATGAAAGCAAATATAGATATACAAAATAGTGAGAAAACTCAAATTTTAGGCTGAAAATTATTGTCGGGGCCTCGAAATTTCGATTCATAACCAAAGTTGAAATTTTAGATTGTTGACGAGGAATCCATATTTTGATTTATTAGGGAGGTGATATCTATAGTAGAGATCTAGAGAAGAGCACTTTAAAGGGCTTTCAATAAAAAGAAGTTAAACGAAGTTCTGGCATAAGGGTAAATCCCTATCTTGTGCATGGAAGATAAAAACAAGGAAATAATTGGATTGACTTCCATTGGTTATGAGCCAACCTCTAAGGATCAGTTGTGATGGTGAAATTGCTGATAAGCCATATATTTTTTTAAAGTAAATAAAAGTTTCAAATAAAAAATTTTTTTTAAAAATTTACTTTATAATTGATGATTTTTTTTATAAGAAAATCCATTATATAAATTTAATTTTAGAGCTTTTCAAAATTTCTTGTTTTTCAGGGTATTTAAATCTTGTACTTATTTAGTATTATCCCTGTTGGTGTTTTTATTCTAACAATATAAAATCAAATAATTATTTTTTTATTTATACCCTTGTCCGCATTTATTCATTTGCTTTTGAGGGAAATTGCTGGACTTTCTAACTTACCTTATTTCTTGGTATTATTATATGTCATTGACCCCGTCTACCTTATTTATGTAAAAATCTCCCATGTTTCAAAATATTCCAACAATTTTAAGAAGTTGAACATAAAATATAAAAGTATATCTATAATTTAAATAATATGAATAAAATAAAAAAATATATATATAATAAAGTATATAACAAAAAATATCAAATATCTTCACTCTACTAAGTTTAGTCTCACATATTTATTCTAATTGGTAACTATAGGTAAATTTTATTTTTCAATTTGGTTTAGTGTAAACCTTAATATAGTTATTATTTTATTGGACTACGAAAATGATTTCACCAATATTTGCAGATATATCCAAACAATTTATATTATGTTTTAATTCCCATAAATATAAGTAACTATCATATTAATCTTAAATGACAGATATTTCTCTTTCCACGAGCAAGTTGAATGTTTTAAGATATAAACATACCATACTTTTGAAAATCCATTCCTGTTATAATTAAATATAAGTATAATTCAATTGAATAGCATATGTATTTTTATGATGGGGGAAGGGAGGGTAGCAGTTTGTTGATATTATATTATGTCCCTAAATATAGTGGTGACAAGTGTTTAAAACTTATCTTAGCTATTTCTGGGTTAGATGGTGTGCACAATTGTAAATTATTGTAAATTCTATCAATAAAAAATTTAACATTTGTGTTTCGAAAAAAATCTAGTTATAAAAATACATAATTACAAACCAAAATATAAATTTTATAATAAATATTGGATCAAATTATTTTTTTTTAATATCAATTGAAATTTTTGCATTATAAAAAGGAATATATATGGTTTATATTTTAGAAAATTTGAAAAAATATTCGATTCGAATATTCGCTGGCCATGTTACGTTGATTAATGAATACTGTGTAAACTTGAATTATGTATTCAGACCATGGTTCGTAAGCTATGTTGAAGTACACATGCTTTGTATCCTAAATATAAACGAAAGTAAATTTTATGGCAAATTAAAAATCTAGTTATTGAAATTTTAAAACTAATCTATTTCCCAAGTAAATATTAGCAAATTGTGTATTTCTTAATACTATATATGGAAATAAGTGAAAAATGGCTAAAATTATATCTAGTGATCTTGTTTTAAATGTTTGAAAAACATAAATGGAATAATTTGATTTCTTATAAATAATTAACTTGAATTCACTCTAATTATTATATTAAAATTCATATGTAAATAATTCTCACATAATCAACTCGTCTTATATTTTTACTTTTATTGTAAATATTAATATAATCCATTCTTCCCTTCAAACCTACCTTATTTAAACTTCTTGTCTCAATCTGTTGATTGTTCTTTTGAATAATGAAGTAAAAAGAATAAATTTTATCCCTAGATTCTGGCCCATCCAAGTTTAAAATCAGTGAATAAGAGTTCGGCAACTTCCGCCATAATTGCAAATGAATCGATGGAATGAGCGGATAATGATCTATAAAAGAAAAAATTCAATCAAAAAAAATGACTTATAATATATAAATTACCGAACACTCTAAATTGATTTCGGTCTTGTTTGCTATCTAAATCGTAAAAATTGAAATAAATTTTAACATTAAAAAATAATTCATTTTTTATGTTAAAAAATAAATTATTATAGGTAAGTTTAGATATGACTTATCTAAATCATATCATTAAATTATAATCTAAAGAAAAATTTTTTTTTTTACTTATAAAAAATTTTAGAGTTGACAAATTTTCCGAAATCCGGTCAATCAAAGTAAATATTCTAATAAAATAATATTTTCCTTCTTCCAGGCGATTTATTTCGAACCGATTCTGAAAAGAAAAATAATTAAGTTTTATATATATACATATATCTATTTCCAAAAGCTTATTTATTATCCGATAAGAAAAAAAATTTAGAACAGTGGTCCTCTAAATACGTTGTTGTTTACCATAAAATCAGCTTTCGGACACGTTAAGATAAAGAAATCAATCAATCAATCAAAGCAATATTTATTTTTTATAACTAACCCCAGATATATAGTTTTCATTGACCATAATTGAATTTCCGTAGGTAACTTCCCACACTCTGTAAAAAAATCTGTAATAAGAATTTTTGTAATATAATTCGTCAGAATTTCTTGGTTTAGAAAAATTGACTTGCACTGAATACAGCTGTTGATAGTTACCGTTGACCCAAGTATTTTTTAAATCCGACGGTTTAATATCAATTTCGTCAACGGACCAGCGATGGGTTTCTATTAAAATTATTACATTTTTTTAAATAAAATTTATTTATTCTTTTCGATAAAAAAAAATATATTTAAATCCCAGATATTATAAGCTAAAACAAAAATCAATTTTAATTTCATATTATTATTTAAAAGGGCGAACGCTATAATATTGTTAATAGATTGTATTTTTAAAAAGGTTAACCCAATATTTTATCTGAAAAATATTATGCAAGCCTGATGAATTTACTCATAGATGGCAGAAAGGTTTGGAGATCTATTAACGAATGAAATCAATTCTTACATGATAATATTTTGGTTAAAATCTTAATTTTAATTGATTAAATCGAACTGTTGAATACTAAACGTTGTAACATACTTTTTTAAAGGGCGATTATAAGATACTAAATCTTTATAATTTTAATAGTTGAAAGGTCTAAGCTAATTTTCAATAATAAAATTGAAACTAATTTATATGCGTTCATTCAGAAAGAGAAATGCAATCATTAATAATTTATCGGCATTTATTTCTAGATTTTTTTAGCATGGCCACCTATGAAAATATTATCTAAATATGTTTGATATGTTATACTCATGTGGTGTACATACACCATTCTATGAATGAATAAAATTAGAGTTAATAATTTATATGAATTAATTTGATTATTTAATAATTTATATGATATTGTATAATTTTAAATAAAAGGTTCTTGAAAAAATATATAAAAAAATTGTATCTTACTTGATGGGCGAATGTCAGGAAGGTTATAACCATCAGTTCTGATAATGGTTATTAAAAAATAGATGATAGGAATAAAAATTTTCATTTTTTATAAAAAAAATAAGTAATATATGATCAGTTTTTGATAATTTTATTTAGATATAAACAAAAAAAATATAATGGATATCTGTTATTTATTTGATAGCCAAAATTTTATTAAACAATATTTACTTAACTATAAACAGGGAAGGTAAATAAAGCATATTTATGCTGCATTTGCATTTATACCTTCCTTATACACTTGGCAAGTCTTAAGGCAAAGAATTAAATGCTAACGAATAAGGCCAATGCATTAAAAAAAAGACAAGTTTAGGATTAATTTATCTTTAGATTTCAATTATGACTAATTTGTTAAAAATAAAAAAAGATATTGGATAAAATTTAAATATTTACAGATAACACAATCTTAAAATTTTTGAATAAAAAAATATTAAATAAACATTAACGTTATATAGATATATCCTTATTTAACTTTATACAGTAACGTATACGTAGCTAAGGAAGAAAATAAGGGGGTGAGGGGTAAAGTTATCAGAAGTTTTCTTTCTTCCTTGAAATCTATGCTGCCTCCACCCTAAATAAGAAAATGCATATTAAAAAAAATGAGATATATATTTGTTCTTGTTTCAAAACCTTCCTTCTGTAAGGTATTTGAAATTTGAACTGCCACAAAAATGACACAAAGAAAGGATTTCGATGCTCTTATTGAAAATATTGTAATTTAATCTCTTTTTTTTACATTTTTATAATGTAAGGGATGGGAGAATTGATAACTCATATTTACGCTATAGAATATATCAGTGATATGTATCCCTAGCTTTTTCAACTGAGGATGCTAAAAGTTAACATAAAAAGGTCATTCTTTTTAAAATAAAAAAAATATATATAAGTAAATTCATATCTAAAATATTATAGATTTTTTCAAGGGCTTTTCGATATTTTCATGAAGTTAGGGTAAGTATCTCTGCTGCACCTCCTCCAGCTATATTCTTTTAAAATTAGTCACCAGAAGTTCAAAATATTTTTTTAAATTTTTAATGGTATATTTGCCAATATATTTCTTAAAAATAACAAATTTAATGTAAATATTTTAAGAAAATTTAATTATTTCTCATTTTTTTCATACTCGTGAATTTCTTTAAATCAAGGTTGTCAAAAATTATTTTATTTAAATCGAAAATAGTAGCCAAATTTTATTTAATCGTTGATGGATACAGGAAACTATTTAGAATTTTATAAATATTGACAAGGAACAATCTTTTTACTGGAGAATTGGATTCTCAATATATACTTTTATTGACAAGAAATTTCCACGAATTAAATAAATATTCTCATTATTATTGATTGATGCAAATATTTAAAAGAAAATTTTAAATTAAAACATCAACCTTTAAGAAATATATATATATAATTATATCATTCGTTCCTAAAAATAAATATTCTTCTAGCCCTTTTTAAATAGAAAAGAAAATTTCTAGGAATACTTTTTATAAAAGAAGCAGAGAAAACAAATTTTTCAAAACTTAAATTTTCAGAATTTTAACACGAAGCTAATAAAATATCGAATTTAATTTCCAAGTATATATTTTGAGAGATTTTGGTTACTAAATAGTACCCAGACCCTCCGCCCCCCTCTTTCCCGTAAAATTATTTAAAAAATACCCAAAAAAGGATATAAATAGCATGTAAGTCAAATTTTCAAAAAAATTTTTTTAATAAAACCTTAGAGCAAATCAACATTTTCACGAGAATTTTTTTTAAGGAAAACAATACAATCACGTTCGTGAAAGACTAATAATTGAAAGAAAAGAAAAGAAAAGAAAAGAAAAGAAAAGAAAAGAAAAGAAAAGAAAAGAAAAGAAAAAGAAAAGAAAAGAAAAGAAAAGAAAAGAAAAGAAAAGAAAAGAAAAGAAAAGAAAAGAAAAGAAAAGAAAAGAAAAGAAAAAGAAAAGAAAAGAAAAGAAAAGAAAAGAAAAAGAAAAGAAAAGAAAAGAAAAGAAAAGAAAAGAAAAGAAAAGAAAAGAAAAGAAAAGAAAAGAAAAGAAAAGAAAAGAAAAGAAAAGAAAAGAAAAGAAAAGAAAAGAAAAGAAAAGAAAAGAAAAGAAAAGAAAAGAAAAGAAAAGAAAAGAAAAGAAAAGAAAAGAAAAGAAAAGAAAAGAAAAGAAAAGAAAAGAAAAGAAAAGAAAAGAAAAGAAAAGAAAAGAAAAGAAAAGAAAAGAAAAGAAAAGAAAAGAAAAGAAAAGAAAAGAAAAGAAAAGAAAAGAAAAGAAAAGAAAAGAAAAGAAAAGAAAAGAAAAGAAAAGAAAAGAAAAGAAAAGAAAAGAAAAGAAAAGAAAAGAAAAGAAAAGAAAAGAAAAAGAAAAGAAAAGAAAAGAAAAGAAAAGAAAAGAAAAGAAAAGAAAAGAAAAGAAAAGAAAAGAAAAGAAAAGAAAAGAAAAGAAAAGAAAAGAAAAGAAAAGAAAAGAAAAGAAAAGAAAAGAAAAGAAAAGAAAAGAAAAGAAAAGAAAAGAAAAGAAAAGAAAAGAAAAGAAAAGAAAAGAAAAGAAAAGAAAAGAAAAGAAAAGAAAAGAAAAGAAAAGAAAAGAAAAGAAAAGAAAAGAAAAGAAAAGAAAAGAAAAGAAGATTATGCAACATGTGGATATCAAATTTCTAAAAAAAAGGGGGTTGGGGTTTATGACAATAAATTATCGGATCTTATAAGGTAATTTATATAACCCTTCCGTATTATTGGCTGACTTACAATTATTTGGGTATTTGAAAAGATGTTATAATGAATTGCGTTTTTAAATATGATAAAACCTGTTTTTACTCATTTTATATAAAATTTTAACGTTTTTAATTTTGTTAACAATTTGTGACAACTGTCTTATTTTATTATAATTTTTAACTAATTTAATTTTGTCAATTTGTAATTTTTTCTCACCATAATTTTGAATAATTTATTACTTCATCGCTCGCTTAACCTTGAATTCATAGTGTCGCTATTGCGATCGCGATTTAAAAGCTGACAGAGTTTTAAAATCTGTTTATGAGATCCATTTTTCTTTATTAAAATCACATTTCTTAGATTATTATTATGAATTGAATTAAAGATATATTAATAAATAAATATTGATCTCATAAACATATTTTAGCTCAGCTGTTAAATCGCGATCGCAATCGCGCCACTATGAATTGAAGGTAAGTCATTATAATTAATTTAGTTTTCCTTTGATGAATCAAAATATTTAAGTTTCAATGAAGAATATCAAACTGAACAACCCTAGTATATTAATTAGTCCTTAATCTTTGACACACTATGAAGAAGAATCTACCGCACACTTTGAAAGAGACACGTCTAGATTTGTCCTTACCACATTTATTTTTACTCCCGAAACGCTTAAGACCAATCCGGAGGCAAATAAAAGGCTAAAGTTAATATCTTCTATTCCCTGGTTTAATTACTTTCCGCTCGTGCATATGTATTAATATCTCTGCAGTCTCCAATCGTTACATATCAACCAGATATGTCGTACATGACAAACAAATCTCCATAGGTCCATAATAATATTTTTATTCGAGCCAAAATATAGGGATAGAAATATGTAAATCTAATCAATTTTTATAGTATATGTTATTTTTCTTTATGGTAAATTAATATGGAGTAAGTATTAACGCAGAATCCACCCTTGTAATTTGGAATTTCTCATTTTTAAATGAAAGCAATTTTTAATTTTAAAACATTTTATTAAAATTAATTTATATATGCAAAATGCATATATTATATAATACTATAATATCCTATTAATTTTTGGACGATTATTATTTCTCTAATTAATCTATTATGAAAACTTATAAAAATTAATATAAATTAAGGGTTAGCAAAATTTCTTCAAATTTATATGTTAGTAACTTCTATAAATGGTAAAATCCATTCCCCAAAAAAATCAGACTTTTCACATTTAAAAATCTCCATCGATTTATGGTAGTAATCTGCATCGGGCCTAATTTTTCAAACCCGATCAGAAATTTTTTTAGAAAGTTTTGCAGGTCCGGTCCGAACCCGAAATTTTTAAAAAATTTACCCGCCCGGCCCAAATTTATTTAAATATAGAAATTAATTTTTATAATTACTCAAAATAAAAGATATATGTTATATGGCGTCTATTTTTTATAAATAAAATCAAATATTTTTATTTTATTTAAAAATTCAACATAAAATTGATAAATTTCGATAAATTAAAAAAAATTCCAAGGCCCGACCTGGCCCGAATTTTTTTAAATATATGGCCTCCGACTCAGCCCGAACCCGATTTTTTTAAAAAATAAGCCCGGTCCGGGTAGGGGTCAGGCCTACATTTGCAGATCTCTAATTTATGGTTTAAAATTGAGAGTTTTCAAATCATCACGGAGATGTTGGATTAGTTATTATTCTGAACTTTACTAAAAATTTTAAAGCCGTTTTCTGGTTCGTCTTATTTCAATCTATAAAGCTCCTTCTAAACAACCAAAGAAAGGGACCAACTATATAAAGTAGGGCTGTGAACCCTCATTCTAAAAAAAGAGTTGGGTTCAGTGAAAAATCCCTGATATCGGTTCGGGTTCAGGGTCCTTAGACCAGAAAAATAATGAAATAAAATTTAGCTAAAATAACAGAAACATTTTTTAAATTTATTTTATTTAGTATTATTGACCATAAAAATAATTTATCATCATTATTACAATATAAAATACATAATTCTACAATGTAATTTTAAAAAATAATTATATTTCTATTTTTAAAATTTTATTTAGGCGTATTATCATAATATCTTCTAAAATATGGTCAATGATTCGGCCTAGGTCTGGCAATATATATTTTAATGATGAGAATGATGTTCAAAGCTAATCTAGTAATTAATTAAGTTTAATAATATATGTATAATGTACTTGGGACACCTAAAACTATTTTCGCCATGATTTATAATTATCGATAAATTAAACTATTCTCTTCTCAGAAATCTAAAGTATTTTCATCCTTATTAAATCTTTTAATATGTCGAAATGTTTCTAATAATGAGTTAATTAGAATTTGTTATTTTTCAAGTAGTTGCACTTTTTTAAAAATGGTTAATAGGATTTGATACCTGTGGTCTAAATAGTGAAGCCTATCCAAATGCTATGAAAATCGGAAAGACACATTTTCTCTGATTGTAGTCTGAATGTTATCACGTTAAGTGGTTTCAAAGCTTTTTTGAAATAACTTTCGACGTTGCAATAAAGTCCATGCAAAAATCTTTCAATTTTAACAATCGATCATCGTAAACCCATGACACCTTCAATTATTGACATAGGTTTTTTCAGTGATTTTAAGACTCTAACAATCGTTAAAGCTCGGCTAATACTCTATTTCGCATAACTGTTTTAGAATCATTAAGGAATAACTGTAATGTGTGTGGTGCACTTTTAATGTAAACTTTTGGGGTTAAATCTTTCAACATTTGGTCTAGATCCGCTATTTCTACATTTATTATATCGTCATTCATATCATCTTCCTCCCAATTCTCCCTTTCCACAGATTCATTTAATAAGCTTATAGATTTGATTAATGCATCATTATAGGTTGTTATAGAATATAGGTTGTTTAATGGAATGTCGAATCAAGGTCTCTAAAATCATTCATCGCCAAATTTCTTAATACGATAATCTACCTTGAACATGCTAAATGATTCCCAGAATGCTACTGTCAAGTTTAGAAGAATCAATTTTTTAATAAACGAATTTATTTTTTCTTTCTCTTTTAATTGTTCTCACTATTTTTTTAGATTCATCTATTCTCTAATTTTAAAACTATTTACGGACACACCCAGGGTTTTAGTAATAGGGTTAATTAATCTTTTAAACCCTGAGTCTTCAATGATTGAAAAAGGGTGGTCATTAACGGTCGCCATCCCTACCAAAGAATTTCTCAGATCGTCTATAGTAAAATAAATTGATTTTTCTGTCAATATTTTTTAATTTTATTAATATTGTATTCTTTTGTATATGATTTGGTAGAAGCCAAAGTTTTAGTCAAAGTTTCAATAATTTTAAATTCTTTATGAAATTGTTTAGAACTATTTATCTTAATGTGTCTCTCTAATTACTACATTCAGAATTTCTCTTATCATTAAATTTGAAATATTCCATTATAGATTTTTTTTATAAATTATGATTTTAAAAAAAATTATTTAAATAAATTATCTAAACTAAATTGGTAATTACAAAATAACTTTTATGATTTATAATTCTTTAGTTTCAATTTCACTTTTTATAACGCAAGTTCGAGACATTAACTTTTATGATTTAATTCTTTAGTTTTTTAATTTCCCATTTTAAATATTTACCGCAAGTTTGAGACAATATAATAAGATTTATTGGTTTAGTAAAAAAAAAATATTTTTTTTTTCATGATAATGATAACTTGATAAATTAACACAAAAATTAACAATGAATGCGCAAAATTAACTTTTCATTATTAATAAAACATAAATAACAATGAATGTACAAAATTAACTTCTCTCAAAAAATAGATATATATAACAGATAACAGATGTAACCTTATTTTAATTATAATTTAAATATGACATATTATAGGAAAGGATCTATTATTAGATTATTAAATTATTTTATTTTGTTTTTTTTTTCAATTCTATCTTTATTCTTAATAAAATTATAATGTTCGCAATTTATTCCAGGTGATATTAAAAATTTTGGAGATGTTGTTATTTATTTCCAATTAATCTTTCAGTTTGTGGAAGAAATTGAATTATAAATATTTTGTATTTTCTTGGTATTTTCAACAAGAATGTATTTGTAACTAGGATATATTTTTTTTATAAAGGATCTGCTTCTATGTAATTTTGAAGCCTTTTTTATTATGATATCTTTGTACCAGATAAATAATTTTATTTAATATTATATTTTTGTGGTAAGTTAATAATAATAGAGGAGAACAATTAAAATTATATGGATAGTTCCGATAGCAAAAAAATAGGAGTAATGAAAAAAACAGATTATAAATACAACACCATTCATTCTTAGTTATATTTTTGTACTTTTCTTCGCAATTCACGTTAACTGTAAATGCATAAGCTCTTATTAAAATTCATTTGTTCACATTTTGGCAAGGCGTCAAACATATAAAATGAAATAATTGAAAGATTGGGTTTATAATAAAACATTTACAGCTGTTTTTCTCAATAGAGAAGAGAACCGGATTAAAAATCAGCTGATAACTATCTATCCATTTTATTCCCTGAAAATGAGTTTAAGCTTGCATCCAGAAGTTATATCACAAATAAAACAAAATATTGGCTGGTCTCTTCTTCCTAAAGATATTAAGCAGGTTATAATAAATAAACTTAATTGATATTTTAAAAAGTTTATATAGTTTTTAGGCAACTCACAAAAAGAATATGATAATGCCATATTACTTTATAGTTTAGAAAATAACCTTAGATTTAAAGAAAATATAAGTAGAGATGTTTTTTTTTAAATTCCATTAGTAAATAATATTATAGTATCTACAATTGAAAAAGATGAGAAGAAATATTACGAAAAACTGATTAAATATTGTAATGAGCATTTAATGCTCTTTCCATATCATCTTTCAGATATTTATATTAGAGGTCTGAGGTTTACACCCTTTTTATATTATAAGAATTTGTTACAGGTATTTATTTATTTTTAAATTTAATTTTAAGTAATTTTGAATATAGGATGTTATGAGAAATGAAAAAAGTTACGATTCAATTCCAAATTTTACAGCATTAGATATACTTAGATTGCTTGACATAGGAAGGAATCAATATATTGATCTAATGAATAAATGCCATAGAAATAAGGCAAGATATTGTTTTATATTTCAAATTATTTAGTTAGTTTTATAATGATTAATCTTTACATTTCAAATTATTTGAGTTGGTTATTATAATACTTTACAAATCTATAATTCTCTTGTTCTTATATTAGGTCATGCACAAATAAAATATATATTCTGCTTTATATTAAAGATAGCACTTATTATATTAGAAAAATCCAGATAGCAAGCAACAAGATTCCAACATATCTCGACTTCTACCTTCCCAGCCCATATCGGGGGCAAGAGCTGAACCCTGGTGGATTATCAGGGTTGGGCATGTTACCTGCCAAGATGCCAAACTTTTATCTAAAGAAGAAAAAAAATATTTAGATTGTTTGATTGATTCTGAAGATAAATATGGTGTTAATTTAAAAGAAGGCAACAAAGAGAGGCGCTTTGAGGAAGATCATATATTCCAACATATCATTGATAAATTATATCTCAAGGGCCTAATTTATTTTGATATACCAATCCAAGATACCGATATATTTGTAGGTCAGACATATATAAAAAACTTATCAATATATTTTTTAATAGAAAAAAATAACAAATTATACTTTGCATTAATTTTATATGGTAAACATACAACTGCCCTCAAAACTATCAACTATTAAAAAACGACTTTAGGAACCTATTTTTGATAATTATTCATATTATTTTTTTTAAGCAATAACTTATATGTATAATTTAATTGATAAATTTGAGTACTACACCCAGTCTTCCAGCTCCAAAAGGAAATCACTTTATACTCAAGTGGTAGGTTCATTCGAAAAACTCATATATTGCTTAAAAACAATTTTACTTTGTTCCATCTTATATCTAAACTATTTTTTATTAGCGAATCTCTACCTGAGTGTTGGAGGGGCAAGGACTGTGCATATCCACAAATTTGTCACTGATCCGATTTTATTAAATCCCATATTTATATTGATTTTTATTTTCTATCTATCTTTGAACCAGTGTCAATATTTCTATTTTTTTTTAAAGTCAACTAACTTTCACGAATGATTAAGTATATTTTTTTATTCTCCATTAAATATTTGTAAAGTTTATGGGTAAATGCAGTGTTTTTCAGCTCCATTTAGCCAATTTTTAAAATGGGCTAAATCAAAAGTTTAGTCAAAATATTATTACCCTAGCCTCTACATTTCTCCAATAGAAGTCCAAATCCTTCTGCCATCTGTGGACGAAATCAATAAGCTTGAATAATTTACTTTTGGCCAAAATCTTAAGTTAACCGACTTAAATGGCTAAATCTAGCCGTTTAATAAAACATGCTGAATGTGACTCGTTAGATATTTTAAAATGCTATTCCTGTTGCAGATATTATAAGAATAAAATAGTGTTAAAATTTTAACTATTTTTTTAAACATTACAATAAATAAATCGTTATTTAGATATTTTATCATTAATTTAAATAAATTGTCTATCATAGAACAAAATTGATGATATCTTTATTTATATTAAAAATAGCATGATTAAATTAACATTTAAAAAAAAACATATGGGGGAAGGGCAAAAATAAAAGGCTCTCATTGAGATCCGAGGGAACTATGATAGTTGCCTCGAAACAGCGATTTGAATTGATCATAACATTTTAAAAGAGGATCCATGATCACGATTAATTTTAGAAATTTTTTTACCTAAAATCTTTAAAAAAATGACTTACTGGTAGAAATAATTATTGAGATAAAATCAAAATCAGAAAAGTCATGGTACTCTATAATAATCTGATCAATGTTTGGATTATAGGAAAATTGTGAAACACAAATGAAATAGCGAATAAGATGTTTTCCTCTAAACTAAGGAATGTTTATGAGACTATCTGGTCTTTTCTCATCTTACAGGGATAAGTGGATGGGTTCCAGAAGGTAAGGGTAATTGGCCAACCCTAATTTGTTCGAGTTTATAGAGTTAATACGATCAATAGAAATTTTTTATTGTAAAATGTTATTTAAATTAATTATTCAACTAATCATTATTTTAAGTGATATTCAATCAAATTAAAAGCAACAAGGATGCATTCAATTATCAAAATATAATATACATTTTAAGGGAAAAAATTTAGTTTAGATAAGTATTATTTTCCTCTTTTTCTCTGTCCCAAATTCACATGGAGAGCGATATTTATATGAAAGACTATATTAAATTACAAGTAGAACAGGAATAAGAGAATTGCCATCGACCAGTTAAATTCAAGCGTGATGATGATAATTTGAAAAATTTAAGAATAAGAATATTTTCAAATTTTTAAAAAAACCAAGACTCTAGAAAATATTTAAAGACCCTTTGCCGAAAGCCATTTTTTTTAAACTAGACAGAAAATCTTTATGAAAAAAATTCTGACCGAGCTCATTTTTTTTTTATATATATCCTGGCCGGCCGTTCAAATGTTTCTCTGCAGAACTCTGATAATTATATATGATGCAATCATAAAGTTATCCAAAACAATAAAAATATCGGCTCGATTCGTTATTTTTTGAAAACGCTAAATATCAGTGCCGATCCGATATTCAATATCGACACAGCCAAGTGAACTATAAGACCAGAATTTGGTAGATTTTTGTTTAAATTTAAAAATAAATAAAAATAACCAATAAGAATTAAAAAGTACCCGCAGCCAAGATAGGAGGGGGGAGGGGTGCAAGCTCCCCAAAATTTTCTTAGCCCCACTGCCCCCTTGATAATATTTTTGGCCCCCAAAAATTTTCCAGCTAAATCTTAATGAAAAAAAAACAGTTATTAGAAAAATTTTAGTTAAAAAAATTTTATTTAGCCAAAATACATATAAAATATTTGAAATATAAAATATCCATTCACTAATTAACCATTAAATGTAAAAACCACAAACAATATCCGCCTTTTTTATTCCTCGACAAAAAGACACTAGTGTTAATGAATTCATCAGTTCCTATGATAATTCTTCTCAACTTCTTCTTGAACATGGTAAATTAGTCAATGTTAACAAGATTTAAATAATTTAACAATTAAGATAAATTATAGCTATTTTAAATGTAAACTACTTCTTGTTTATCAGGCGATGATATCTAAACGTTTATTAGACCAATACGTCAACTATTAACAGGGATATATTGCGAAGGGGCTGAGTCCCTCACACACTTGCCAAATTTTTTTAAAATATTTTTCGAAGGTATTAAATTTGAATCCCCTTTCTCCTTATTATTATTAATAATTGATTTCTCCTATTTTTTTATAGCGACATAGAAGATATAGAAGCTAAAGGTTGAACGCTTTTGCTTTATCTAAAGCAGGGTTGTGCATTTGACCGGTCAAATACGTTTCGGTCAATTGACCGATATTTGACCGGCCAAATATGGTCAAATTCAAATATATTTTTTTAAAGTTAATATTAACTTTATTTTGAATATAATAGTAAAATGAATCTATAATATTAATTTTTTAAATTCATTCAATAACTAACGTGTAGCTATCTGTATCAGAGTCTTGTTCTGATTCATATTCAATATTATCATTTTCTTTAATATTTTTTAAACAATTTTCCTGATATCTTAGATCTTAAATCGATTTCTATTTTCATAAGAATATTAATCCAAATCGACCTATTTCTTTCTAAAGAAGAAGTAGAACTAGGAATTGTTAGTCTCTTAATGGGCAGGGTAGACAAAGTTTAATCTATTAACTTGAGGTCGGAATTGATTGTTTCTGGAAATTACTACTTTCCACATATTTTGCTATATTAAACATGCTGTTTTTGCTTCTGAAATTAATTATATCACTTAATATATTTTGGTCATCACTACCTTGTAAAATAGCTAATTCTTGAATTATATCACATACTTCATTAATTACACTACTAGTGAGTTCTCCTCTTGATATTGTGGACCCGAAAAATAAGCAAACATTGTGATCACATGTATTTACATCTTTTTTCCCTTTTTTAAACATATTTTTAATTTATTTTTCCTTTAAATTTTTTAGAGTATTTGACCATATTTGACAGGTCAAACACTCCTCCGGTCAATTGACTGAATTTGACTGGTCAATTGACCGACTTGCCAACCCTGATCTAAAGTATAGAGTGAGGTTCACCACCAAAAAAGTAGTGGTGATAAATAGTTACATTTTAACAGGTTATGAGCATATTCTAAAAAAAGCTGAATTTTTAAACGAAAATTATCTTACTTAGTCTCGATCGAGGTTAAACTTAAAGGATAGCTCTATCTTGAAAAAAAATTTCACAAAATACAACCAGAACGACCAAATTTTTAAAACTCTGAAGGAGTTACGGCCATAAAATAACCAAATTTTAAAAACCCATGACGGCTATATTAAAAAGATTTTATACCAGGCCGAGCTTTAAAAAAAATGGGGAAAACAACGAGACTTTAAATGGGTATTTCTATAGGTTTTTAATGAATGAATGAATTAATTTAAGTTCACAAAGCAAAAGTTTTACATTCGGATATTAAAGGCTTATAAAATAAAGCAGATGGTTTCAGTTTTGAAGTTATTTAATAAAAAAAAACCTTTAAACTATCACTTTTTTATTTGATGAAAGAAAGAAAGATGGTTTAAAAACGGTCATTTAGTTCTCACTATAAATTAAATAAATGTTATCTTAATCTATCCTCCAGTCCCACCTTTAAAATCTTTCGTGATGAACAGGCTCCAAGGTGACAGCGTCGAAAATCTTCTATATTCCATTTTCGCGGTGCTAGACCCTAGCCTAAATGTTTCGCGATTGGCTGATCACGTGTTAGATTTGGAAAAGGAGCTGGTGATACGTGGAGTATCCCTTTTGAACAGGCTGGGATTGGCTGTACCCTACCACATCACCGCTTATCCTCATACCGCTGTTTATAGTCCTAACGAGTTTGATTTTCTTTTTGTCATGAATAAGTTATTTTTTATTCTGTATAGGGTTTGCCGATAAAGCATTTTAAAGACCGATCCAATCCGATTTTGCCGACACGATCACCCATATTAGTCGGATTTTAATATATCCGATTAAATTTACTAATTTAACGATATTTGATCCCAAATGAAATTGATGGATTCTTAGTATTTTTTTATTATAAGAAATAACAATAATACTAATTTCCAAATATAAGTTATTTTCAAAATTCAATATTTTTTCCCCCTTAATATTACTTTAAGCGAAATGGAGACGCCTTCCCTTGAAGGAGACATATCTCTTGATAGCTTTATAGAAAATTTAAATATATCCGATGCCGAAAATAAGACCAAGGGCTCCTCTGAACAGGGTAAATTGTTATTACGCTTATTTCATTTCTATTTTTGTTTTTTTTTTGAAAACTAATTGAAATCACGTTTTGCAATATAATGTGACATACTTGTTTAATTATAATAAAAAATATTTATTATCCGTATCCGAATGGGATGAATATGAATATAATTCTTTTTAATTAAAAATAATTACAAAATGTAATATATTCAGCCATTTCTGGGATCAATTTCTACGTTCATCTTTTTTTTTCTCTCAATTAGAAATATTATCTATAAGTTGCCATATTATATTGGCATTGATCTAAGTCTTATTAGTCTAACTTGAAATCAAATATGGCGAACAAGAAAATATTAAAAAAATTTATATCCTCTTATAAAATGCCTTTTTTCAAATAAATCTGGAAAAGTCTAGAAATTTATCCAGCACTTGCGTATATAGAGATAATATATTAATTTTATATGACCTACAAAAATACAGATAATATGATTTTTCATAAAACCCAACTTTACTTTCAATTAGTAGTTCAACAACTTCACAACTGTTATTATAACAATTTGAGAAAATCCTTCAAAATTCCAGCTCACACTTCGGGTACAGCCCATGACAAGATAATTTTACATGTTTTTTTAACAAATCCTTCACACGAATAGCGATAGCGGATTGAATGCCTATTTAGAAGCCTTTAAAATCCACTTAAACTGAATTATGGCGAATAAATAAGGCTAAAAAAATATTCTAATCTAAATATGATTAACTTTTTATTTATTTGTATTAGTTAGAAAATTATTATTTAATACCTATAAAAATTCCAGTTTGAAAAGAATTAAAATTTTTTGATTTCATCTTTAAAGATCTTTTTATGCATAATATAAAAGATTTTTAGCATTTTTAGGCAAAATTTTATCAAAAATATCTGTTCTTTACAAAAAAAAATACATGTTTAAGTTATTTATCAAGCTAAGAGTATAAAAAGATAAATATCCATTTAAACCGGCGCTTTTCATATTAACAAAATTAGTAAATTACTTATCAATATTATTTTAACATATAAGGCGGATAAAAATATTATTTTGTTACTAATTCAAATTAAATTACGTAACGTGTCAATATTATTTTTTCAAGTATAATGGAAGCAAGTATTATTAAAATTATTTTTTTAAAAAAAAAAAATTATTCTATAATAAAGAAGCTTGTAATCATTTTTTTGTGTTTTTTAATAATATTTGTTTTTCGAATAGTTTTAAAGCGAAATATAGGCCTGCAAATAAAAAAAATAGGAATATTTTGTGATAGAAAAAATGCATTTTACCTCTAGTTCTCTTCTTTAGGACGGAGTATCCAAGCTTAATTTAGCTGAATATGAATTCCGATCCTATATTAAATATTGGTGCCATCCGAGTCCCTTTTCACACCCCCCCCCCCGAAATTTTCTTCCCCTTTCCTAATGGTCTCTAAAAATCTATTATTTATCCAAGTGTTTTGACTTTAATACCTTTTTTGAGAAAATAATAATATGAGTTTTGCGATTTAACAACGATCCCGAAAAAATAAATTTTAAATGTGAATTAGACTTCGTTTATGATACGCGCGAAATATCGCGAAAGCGATGTATAAGTCATCGCTAAACGATAGTATAGCTTGTAAATTACGCATTGAGGCTTTATATTTTATTGGGTTTAATAGATTCATCGCCTTCCATGAAATCCAATCCGTACGACGTTTTGCCGACTTCCGTCAAAAAAATTGGCTTAGTGTTCGATTCTATGCTAGCAGCATTTCTTATGATGGGGAATTTATCTCAAGTTTTGAAAAAAGAAAAATTATTGAAATTCATAAAAATCAATTTTAAAAAATTAAACAAGTAAACAATATTTATTTTTTGAAAAACAATCTAAAGGGTCTCAAAACTCATGCCATTACCATGTTCGAAACCGGAAAATTACCTTGGGAATCTTTGCAAGATTTTTTAAAACTATTAGAACAGGTTCTTCTATACTTATTTTATTTTTTTAAATGAAAATTTCATAATGTATTTTAGTGAAATATTTCGAATAATTTGCTATTCATATTTGTTCGAATAATTTACTATCCTTATTCGCACGAATAACTATGCACGAATAATTTACTATTTATAATCAACTAATACTAAAATTCACTATTATTATTTGGTTGGTATATAGTTCCGAGTTTGGAACACTGTGAATCTTGAACTCTCAGAACCGGGATAAATGCAGGAAACACAACCTGAAAGGCCCTTTTAAATTTTTATTGGAACCGAAATCAGAACTCATTTTAAAATCTCTAGGAACCGGTTTCGAAACCGATTCAAACAAAGGTACAAATATTTTACATGTATTTTGTTTAAAAATGTTGTGCGATTCATTTTTATAGGGTTTATTTGTTTTAAATTTCTAACTCGAAACCCACTAACCAGAACTAGTGTTGTTAAACGGCTTGTTTTGATCCGATTTTTAAAAACGGCTAACTCAGTAATTTAGCCAGAAAAATATTGCCTAAGCCTCGAGATTTCGCTAATAGATGTCCAAACCTTTGTTCCTTCTACAAACAAAATTTTTAGGCTTGCATAATTTTATTCTAGATGAAATATTGAGTTAGCCGTTTTTAAAAATCGGCTCAAAACGAGCCGTTTAACAACACTAACCAGAACCACCATTTTTTTAAAATATTCAGAACCGTATATGGAACCCCTTTTCATCAAAATTCTCCAAACATTATTATATTTACGTATAGTAAAATTATTTGATTCATTCCAAGAAATTAAATACGAATAATTTGTTATTCGATTCATATTCTTTTTTTTGGATAGGTCTATTATAAAGTTTATCATTTAAAACTTGTAATATAAACTGAAGTTCAAGTATATCATTTAAATCACTTTTTTAACATTTTGTGTTTTATTCATATCTAACTTCCAAAATGTTTTAAACCGACATATTTTTTGATATAATATACCTAATTATCGATATTAGTTCCACGATACAGGTTTATTTTAAAATTATGAATTAAAAATGACGAGCGTTGAGCTACATATCTTAGTTTCATAAAATTTACTTTTAACGTTGAGACTAGTTTGTTCTTGTATTAACATTTTCCATCTTTTAAAATTTTGATTTCTAGTAATTCGAAGCAATTTTGTCCACAAACCCCTCACCTCTCTATTATATCGATTAATGTTTAAAAACAATAATGAATTTTATTTGTAATTCTTTTGTGTATATATATACATTTATATAATTATCCAATTTAACTTCTAATAATATGCAATTTGATTAACCTCGATAATATAATATTAAATGTCGGAAAGTTATAATAATATAATATACAAATAACGTCCTTTTAAAATATATAATGTAACCTTTAAAATATATACGATATTCAAATATAACATATCTTCTTTCCCACCAAGTTAAGATCGTCTATCAATCTTTTTATTTACCAATGAATCTTTACAATTAGCCAGTAAATCGTCCATTGAATATTATTGGTGCTGTAACTATACCAAAAGGTAATCGTAAATAGCGGTAGTATTCATTTGATATTACCATTGTTAATAATTCTTGCGATTCATCGTCAATGCTCATTTGTAGATATGCGTCTTTGAGATCTAATGTTGTATATTTATTTCCATTAGCGATCTTTGCGATTAATTCTTCAAACGTTGGTAGAATATGATAGTCTTTTAGTAGAAATCTATTTAATGTTACTTTGAAATATCCACAAAATCGTAGTTCACCTGAAGTTTTACGTACCACTACCATTGGAGTACTCCATGTTACTCTTTATAATCCACGGAAATCCAAATAGGCTGTATCAATCATTTTGATAGTCCCCTTTATCATCATCTAAATTTTATAATCCACGGAAATCTAAATAGGGCTGCATCAATCATTTTGATAGTGTTATCTATTTCTAAGTCAGCCCATCGCTAATCCCAATTCTACAGCTTTGTTTAAGCTTAACGGTTGGTCTTCGTCTTTAGTATCTGGGTATCGTAAACTTAGTTCTTTATCTAGTTGTGACATCTTTAGTCCGGCACAAATTGATCGCGAATTCTTAGTTCTATATTATCTTCAAATTCGTATCTTCGGGCTAGCTCCTTTATTTTTTTAAATAGCTCATACAAGATTCAGTAGGGCCGCGACTTAATCTAATGAAATCAATTCTAGATGCCAAAATAGTTCTTTCATCTTTATACAGCTCTAAGCAATTTTGTATATGCCAATCCATCCTACCTCCTCCATTTTCCTAGAATAGAATAATTAACGTGAATATAATAAAGAAAATAGATCCATCAACAACAAGAGTAACCTGGAGTACTCCAATGGTAGTGGTACATAAAACTTCAAGTGAACTACGATTTTGTGGATATTTCAAGTAACATTAAATAGATTTCTACTAAAAGACTATCATATTCTACCAACGTTTGAAGAATTAATCGTAAAGATCGCTAATGGAAATAAATATACAACATTAGATCTCAAAGTCGCATATCTCTAAATGAGCATAGACGATGAATCGCAAGAATTATTAACCATGGTAATGTAAAGATACAGCAATTTATTTAGATGTTATAATCACAGGGAAAAATGATACTGAAGAACATATAGAGAATATAAAACAAATCCTCAAAAAAATTACAAAATGCGGGATTAAAAGTCAAAACAAGCAAAATAAATTTTATGAAAGAAAAAGTATCATATTTAGGATACATAATAGATCAAAATGGAATATACCCAGATAAAAATAAAATAATAGCAATACAAAAATATCCAACTCCAAAAGATAGACCTGACATAAAATTATTTTTAGGTATATTAAACTATTATACACGGTTCATACCAAACTTACATAGTATCATAGCCGAATTATAATAAGTAAAAAATGTTAAATGGAATTGGACTAAAAAAGATGATGCATTATTTGAAAAAGCAAAAGAAATAGTAACAGAACACAATACTATACAATTTTATAAACCGGATCTTGAGTTAATACTAGAAACAGATGCATCTAACCAAGAATTTGGAGCTGTACTCTTGCAAAAATATGATAATGGTAACGAATACCCTATAGCTTACACCTCGAGAACTTTACAAGATGCTGAAAAGAATTATTCGACAATCGACAAAGAAGCCAAAGCCATAGTAAACGGCGTAGAAAAATTTCATAACTATTTGTATGGACGAAAATTTAAAATACGAACGGACCACAAACCTTTAATAAAAATATATGGTGATAACAGAGATTTAAGCTCCTTAACATACCAAAGATTATTGTGTTGGGCTTATAAATTATCGGCCTATGATTATGATATATTTTACAAGAATGGCGCTAATAATATCAGATGCTTTATCGCAAAACCCAATACAGATAAATGATGATATATTAACAAGCGAAAATAAAACAGTGATGGTGGGAACAATTAGTAAAAGATGTCGAAAAACTAGAATCCGCCATCACAATCCTGAATAAGGGAAGATTATAAAGTTAGGAGATGAAAACAGAAAAAATTAATAAATGAACTTGAACTTAGTAAATAAAAAGATTGATAGACGATCTTAACTTGGTGGGAAAGAAGATATGTTATATTTGAATATCGTATATATTTTATGTGTCTAGTCGCCAATAGAACATTTTGAGGAATATTTTTAACATTCATTATATATTTTATGTGTCTATAGTCGTCAATAGAACATTCATCTTTTATCCATAATTTCTAAAATCTATTATTATTATTTAATTTTTTTATAAACAGAAAAAAAAAATTTATAATTCTATATAACATTTAACTTGACCAAAGGCCGAAAACCGCGCGACTTTTTTTTACCTCGTCGCCAAATATTATATCGATTATTGTTTAAAAACAATAATGAATTTTATTTGTAATTCTTTTTTATATATATACATTTAAATAATTATCCCATTTAACTTCTAATAATATGCAATTTGATTAACTTCTATAATATAATATTAAATGTCGGAAAGTTATAATAATATAATATACAAATAACGTCCTTTTAAAATATATAACGTAACCTTTAAAATATATACGATATTCAAATATAACACTCTCCCCTCTAAAAAAAATTTTAATTTTAGGTGGACATAGAGGCATGTTTAAACGACGACATAAAGATATACGCTAATGTAAGTCAAGCTCTCAAGAATACCTTGATGGTTTTGATATCCACATTTTCACCCTCCCTATCACCCTCATGTCTCGCCGTTAATGTCAAAACTAATTATACAAACATCCACGGGTTAGATATGTTGAAATGCGAAAGTTTTACTCAGTTGAATCGCACTACTTGCGATAGGATATTGGAGAAATACGAGTTTCTTTTTTTAATTAAATATAAATAAATATATGTTTATGTATTCCTTTGATTAATTTTTTTTTCTAAAAAAAACTAACTTATTTTATTATTTTTATTCAATTTTTCTTGTGGTTAATAAAGTAATTTTGTGTTGCATTTTTTTAAAATTTGGTAATAAGGTTGTCTATATAATAAACGTGATTCGCCCAAGTGATGCCAAAGTTTTCGCTACACAATTTACATAATCAAGCTAATAGGTATAATTTATAAATACTAAGCGAAATGGTGAAATCGCGAAAGACTGAATTAGCTGTAATAACCCCGCGTTAATACAACGCTTGAAGATAATGTGCTTACTATATGGAACGTAAGGTCATTCTCTAGCCATCAAGCGTGATAAATTACGCATTTGGTAGTCATTATTTTAAATTTTTTTTTATAAATAATATAAAATATAATACAGGCAGTTTTTCAATATATTATATGTAGATCTATTACTTTTAAAATATCGAAATTATTGCTCGAACGCTGAAACGTTTAGTTATTACCTTACGGCATTTATAGTAAACGCATTATCTTCAAGCGTTGCGTTATTTAGCGCAACGTTATTACAGCTGATTCAGTTTTAAAATCTAATTTAAGATAAAGTTAAAATAAAGATAATTATTTTATATAATCTTTAAGAAAAATCATATACTTTCTTATCAAATTCGCTATTATTTTTATAATCGTATCGCATATTATTTTTTTTATCAACGCATCATATGTTTTTCAAATTTTATCATAGTGTTCTCGTCATAACGCTTCATATTTATAATTTTATACCTATTTATTGCTTTATTTTGTAATAACGCTGAAATAACGCAACGCTTGAATATAACGCGTTTACTAGGCCTTAGCCTATCTTTTCTTCTGCAGTTACAAATGTATAATTAACTTATTTTGGGGGGAAATTTTTTCTTTAAAGAACTATCATATACATCAGCCCCATATCCCAATCCGTGTGCCCGATATTGAATTTAGACATACCCATTTTTGGGCCTTGCATGCCAGAGGTATGATATTTACATATATATTGTTTTTATAAGGCTATGCCGATTCACAAATCTTTTTACAGATCCGATCCAATATTTTTCGATATTCTTACCAAAACCCATCCAATATTTTGATTGATTTTTTTATTTACATTTTATCTTTGAACCGATTTTCATGAAAAAGATTAAAATTTTCTCAGCAAAATAAATAACTAACATTGAACAACGGATAATGCAAGAAGTACTGAAATTTCTCGTTTTATTATGGCCAAGCGGCCATATTTTGTGCCTTATCACGAATGATTAAAGAAAGTGTAATTTGTTTTATTTTAATTTCCCAAAGTTAATCATCTCATTTATAATATGGGTAATGCTTATAGCTAAATCTGAATGTAACTCGTTTAAATATTTTTAAATAGCTTTCTTGATGCAAATGTATAGCAAAAAAATAATAATAATAAATATTCTAATTTTGTTTAAATTAAATTTTGTCTTCACTTAATTCATTTATTATTATTAGGAAATTATGTATAAAATAAAATAATATAAACTTGTAAAGTATGTTACAGCCAGATTGCATAATTATTCAATACGCGTATTGCCTTTAGGGTTCGATTTATAGTAAGCGCGAAATACCACGAGTCAATCAGATGCGTAAATTTACAAAATAAACAATATTAATTTTGCGATGTAACGCGAATTCATGGCGAAGTATACAAAATATGCTATATCTTTGTGTTTATAAACATTTCGCCGCAAATCGCTCCAACTCTGAATGCTGGGTTGCACATCCTTGAGCGATATCGTGGTATTTCGCGCTCACTATAAGTAAAGCCTTAGTCAGAAATGTATTCCATCACATGTAGAACACTAACACTTTAAATTTCACAATAATTTATAAGAGATTGCATTCAAAGTTTTTAAAAAAAAACACGCTTCAATAAATTAATTTAGGTTGGTAAATATCACAATTATTTCTTGAAAACTCCTTTTTTTTACAACTTTTAATAATCTGATTTTGCAAAATATATTCCAATATGTGTAGAATACCTATCTTATAAATTTCAGATAATTTGATCATGAACTTTTAAATAATGTTTAAATTTGAATCTGATTTTGAGTATCTGGCCGATCAAATTTTTCTTAAATGGTAAATATCGGCACTGATTTCATATTAAATATTGGCACAGTCCTATTGCTTTAAGACTTTTTTTTCTTTTTTGTTAAAACTAATTAGCGATTCATTTATTATACATACATTGAAATCAGCTGTTGACAGTGTCATTAGCTGTAGTAGATTAAAATGCATTTCGTCAAAATCTCTTTCAATGGCGGAACTTAATGTTGTACACTTTTTAATGTATTTTAATCATGAATCATATTAATAGGACCTATTTTAAACAACTGTTTTATATAAGTTTTTTTTAAATTTGAAGCTAAATTTGTTTCAAATTCCTTTTTTTACTAGCGAGATCTGTCTCATTACAGTTTTTTAATAAAGTTTTCTAGTAATCACTCTCTTTTAAATGTAGATGAAGACACCCTGGTTTAGACTATTTCTGTATTACGTTTTTCAAAATGGACCCGTAAGCCTATTACTAAGGAGAGGAACCAGACTAACCAGATTGCCCAATATTTTTAAAGTAATCATTGTTATAATATTAGCTAGAAGAAGAAAAAAAAATAACTTTTAACTTATTATTTTATGCTATAGTCACGTTGCTAGTTCTCACCTCCCATTATTAATAAGCGTTAAAATATGGCGATAACGTTTTCCGTGGCGATGAGAAATAAAATAAAGCAAATACATTTCTACGAATAGCAATATTGCGCTATTCTTTTGCTTGTAATGCACTTGTCCTGCATTAGTTACCACAAATTCGCTGCCAAGTATATAAAAATACAGCATATTTTGCATACTTTGCCGCGAATTCGTGAGATGTGTAAATACTGGGTACCCCTCATTCACAGTTAGCGCCAATTTGCGGCGGTGAATACAAAAATACAGCAAATTTGTATAAATCGCGCTAACTATGAATGAGGGGTTGTTAGGGTTTCCAAAATTGAACTGTTTACGTTTTGCTTTTATTTAAAATGATGCATCTCATGGTTACTCCTCTCTGTATACAATGGTCGAAGGAGTTCTTGGATTCATAACTGACTCGTTTTCGGCGTGAATTTATGTATCCGAGATAAGGGTGTTATTCGAAGTTAATTTAAGGGTAAACTTCTCAAAATGTAAATTCTCTTAAAACTCTCTTAAATATCTCAGGCACATTATAATCTCTAGTAGTTTCTCTTCAACCTCTCGAACTACAAAGTTTATTGGGAAATATCCCATTCCTACCAATAAATACGAAATACGATCATTTATGCTAAATTTATCCCAAAGATGTCTACAATAAAACAAATCCTTTATTATTACATAAAGGAGCTAAATATATCTGGAAAACGAAATAACAACTAGCCTACAAAATCATCAAATCTGTTCTAACGTCCCCTACAGTCTCGTGTCATTATAGTTCTTCACCACACCAATTCCATTCTATTTGGATGCGACGCCTCATCTTATAAAATATAGGCAGTAACACTGACTACAACCTCATTTCTTGTTTCTGAAATAAGGAAAGGATCTAGAATCTTTATAGCGATATCATGCCATCTTTCAGTTATATATTTTTTTTATATAGGGTCTTTAATACCTCGACTCTGGTATATGTGAAGTTGTTAGCTTGCGATAATTTATTGGATATATAAATCTTTTTGTGAAGATTTGGATCGCCGTGGATTATAGGGGTAATATTGATAAAGAATCTACGATTCTATTTAGAGATTCCTTTTATATATTACATCTCATGCAGGCATGATGGGAATGGGGGGTGAGACTATAATAGCACAAGATTTTAGGAAGCCATAACTCATAATATTTGCCCTCCATAATATCTGTGTGTTTTTTCACTTATTAAAATTATATATATATTTTTTTTATATCCTCAAACGATGGTTCCCCTTGGAAGCCCTATTGGGTACTATGAAACATTAACTACTTTCTTTTTGTTATAAAAAAATTTAAGCTTATAATATTTTTAGAATTTTTCCCGTTATATTTAAATTCAGGCTTTTGATATATATACCCCTCTTTCCCGACATCGCTGCTATATAGATGTTCATCTTTAAATCTTGTTTATTTTTCATAAATCAAGGTTTCTCAATTTTTAAGCCTAAGTACCTGGGAACATGAACCTATCGTGATACCAATGAATTCCTCGCTGTTAGCCATTAATGATGCATTAACTTCATACCCTTTATTAATACAAGTATATATATTTTTTTAAATTATCCCAAATTTGGTAAAAATTATTTTTATCATACCAACAAGTAGGAGTTTATCAATCCTCACCTTACTATATATATATATATATATATATATAGAAAGAACTGCTATATTGTTTTTTCCCTGACTATATTAATTACCATTTTGAATTAATTCTTGTTGTTATGCGCAATGTTAATTAGCGAACTTCATTCCATTTTGTTTCTTAACTCGATCTGAATGCTGTCGACCACTTTTTTAAAATATTTTCAGACTGTCGAGCAGTCTAAAGTGCTTGACTAAGTTATAGGCCATTTAACCAAATTTAAACTCATTTTGCATCTCTAGTTCTTATCATTCAGGCCTTGATCCACTATTTTTGAGGTAGGTCTGTTTGACATAGCTTATTTTGCTTAATCTCGGCATAATTTACACACGATTGTCGGAGATAGATCCGTTAAACCTGAGGCGCAAGTTGAATTTTTTTTCCCCTTTTCCATATGGTTCAGCAAAAAAAATTGAGGGTCTGACCGTAAACTCATTTTAATAGATTTTTGAGTAGACTTCCAAGCATAATTAGTTTATGTCAGGGTTTCGAACTGTACCCGAAATAAACCGTTATAAAAAAATTGAAATATCAAATTTTTATATATACTTTCGAATTAGTTCATGATAGTTTTGAAATTATATTTAGTTATAATAATTAATTACAAAGAAATTCAACTTATTTTCTTTAATTTTTGTGTGGTTTCATTTTATTTTTATAAATATTTTTGTTGTTGCTAATTTTTCTTTTATTTTCTTTTAAATTTACAAAGATAAGAAGATATATATTTTTACAAAACTGTTCTCTATTTTCTATATAAAAAATTAATATTTTTGATAGGAAAATTGAATTAAAAACAATGTTAAAATCCTTATGCATATAACATGTTTTCATAGCGTCGACATAATAATATATAATGATTAATTTTAAAAAAAAAATTCAAAAGTTATATAAAACCTGAACGAACCGATATGAATTCGTTAAAAAATAACCGAACAGAACCTTTTTGCGATTTCAAGTTAAAAACTAGAGAATGGAACTGAATCATACCAGCCTGGTTATTTATATACTTTTTTTTGAAAATAATTTATTTATTATTTACAACTAAGAAATTTTTATTATTGCAAAAGGATAAAAATTTGATTCACATTTCGGTTGCTTTTGAAATACTTTTAAAATCATTATTATTTATTTTTTTTATATTATAAAAAATGATTTGATAAAAAGCCTTACCCAGTTTTAGATCAGGCCCAATCAAACGATAACTATCTTATATACCTTAATTCTTTGCAAAGCGACGCTTCGAACATAGACGCTAACGACTCGAAGAATCCTGCCATCTCTGATTCACTTCCTAAAAATGATGATAAACATCCAATTTTGGATCACACATTCCCCTTTGGGAAGGATAATTTTAATAACGCTGCCACCGCCGATTTGAAGCATTTGAGTAGATTCAAATATTTCAAACACTCCTTGGGATATATTAGGTGCATTAAATTACCCGTTTTATCTGCAACGAATAAGGATTGGCTTTTGCAATTGCCCGTCAAGCCGCTGATAGAGGAGGATTTGGAAAAATCGTTGTGGGATGCTTCCGATGTTAGTATTAATTCCCCCCCCCTATATAGTTGTTTATAATTTATGTTTATAAATTTACGAAAGATCGGAGGTTTAAGAGGATATGAATACATATCCCTTCTTCGTTTAATAGAGAAAAAAAACTCTGGTAAAAATATCTGTAGTAATGAAAAGTCCTCGGGAAATAAGTTTGATATATATATTTTTTTAAATAAAATAAAACTATTAAGGGTAATTATTTTATATTTTAATCTCAAACTCAATTTTTTTAAGAAATGTATTTCGAAGATCTAAAAATGATTGACACGTTTTATTATTCCAATTTGCTGAATTTTTTTTTTATATTTAAACACTTGAAATTTTGTATAAAATAACTGAATAAAAATTAGCGGCTAATGTCTAATGAATCGATTTATGAAAACGAGCATTCCAAAGGATATGAATGGTGTTTTTACGATTGCAATTTAGGGATACCTCTTTCCGACTTGGTTCTTAATAATCAAATTTTGACCCTAATAAAATCGAACGAACCATTTAATAATGAAAAGTATATATTTTATAAGATTTTGGATTCCATTTAAATTTTATATTTATCTAAGTTCATTTTCAAGTGTGCATTTTTAACTTTATTATTATTACTAAATTACTTAAATATTCTTTATAATAAACAAATAATTCCCCTCTTCAAATATGCTTAGCTTACGGGAATTGAAAATGGCTACCAATATTTTCTCGCAATGCTTCCTACAATTCATGAAAAATTGCCAATACGTAATAATGACAATTAAAAAATTTCGAACTTTTATTTATATTAATCTACATTTTTCTATACGATTTCTATATTAAAACCTTCTCTTTGTTTAAATTTTGACAAAAGTCACCATAATTATATAGAAATTAGAAGTCTGCGTTGGGCATGTTTTTATCCCGCCAGCCCATACTTCAGAGCGTGGTCGGGTTTTCTAAAATATTTTCAACATTGGACAGATGGTGGGCAGATTAAAAAAAATTCTAAGTAATGGGCGGGTAAATTTTTAATATTCCTCAGGCAAAATGAGCAGAACAGACTTCAATTTATTTAAAAAAAATAGTTTTAATATATAATATTGCACATTATAAATGTTTAATTAAAAATACATGAAAATAAATGAATAAAGAGCCAAACTAGCCTTAAAATAATTTTTGAACATTAGGCGGGCTGGTGGGTTAAACAAAATTTATAGATAAATGGACGGGCAGGAGGGTAAATTTTTTAATATAAATTATAAGCGGGCGAGCGGTATAAAAAGTTTCCAAATAGCCAGTAGGCGGGCCTTTTGTTTGAAAACCCGCCCATTGCTTATGCAAGTATGCCTAAAACAAGACTCGGGTCTAAAATTATATTTAGAAAATCCGGAATGGAATTAGGCTTAAAAATTTATATTTATATCTCTTACGGTTATTTAATTTTTTTTTAAACTTTTTGATCAAGTATGGAATTAATATATCTTCTTTTTACAAAAAAAAGTTTGATCACACATCAATACCACTCGATACTGAGGAACTTATTTTCCCGGGCAAAGAAAGGGATAAATATAAGGATTTTAGTTATCCACGTAACAACTTGCTCATTTACCGAAATAAAGTTTTACTTTGGGAAATTTAACAAAGGATATTAATGGCTTGGCAGATATGATTTATTTATTTCCAATTTTTTTTAGAAAAAATAATCGCATTCCATTTATAATGAACCCCGGTCATTTATTTAAAATCATTACTTATTTCGAACATTCCCATTATAAAATATCAATATTTATATTGTGATAATAAAGCAACATATTATTTTATAAATATATTCAACTTTTTAATTTATTTATAAAGATAACAATTTTATAAATATATTGAACGTTTTAATTTATTATAAAGATATTAATTTATTAAATTTGTTCTAGGAACTGGGTGGATTAAATTGAACAATAAGACAGTTTATCAAGATGTTGTCTTAAAAAAATATTGATACCCTTTTTTATATATTTGAGAAAATCTCATAAGCATTTGAACTTTTTTTGCCATCTTTACCCTTAAAAAAGGGAATAAACGAATTTATTCACGCAGAAATCGAGTCATGAGTAATAAAAAATTTTTACTTCTATATTTACTATTTGACATGTTAGAGAATTACCTTAAAAGTCTGAGCAAATAATTAATAATTATCCTAATTCTTCTCCACCATATAAACCTAGGTTAATATCCTTATTAGAAAGTCCAAAGTTCCTTAAAAATTTTACTTAATTCAATATAGAACTCTACAAATTCATATTGAATCTGCCCGAGCTACCCTCTAAATTTTACTTTTTTTTTAGCAAGTCCCAAATTTTTTATTTATTTTTAGACTCTACATAGTCGGAAATTCATACAGTAATAGAAATGTATTTAAATTTTAAAAAAATCACAATGCTTTGCTTATCCCAGATAGATTCTATCTATCGTTATAATTTAATTTTCTTGACCAACACGGCTTTGGGGACTTAGATGGCTCTTATATAGGCATTCGATTTTAAATATGACAAGTAAATTAATAATATGCGAATAGTTTTTTAATTTTATGCCTAAACTATAATATTTGACAGTAGATATGTGCAAAATTTAAGTAGTTAATTTAGTCGAAACCATACCCATATAAAATTCTTGTTTCATTCATACTCCTGTTATAGATTTAAAATTTTATTTATAATTTTTTTTCTAAATTACAATGTAAAGGGATGATGATTAATTTTTTTTACAATTTAATTGTGACACGTTTTTAAAATTCTTAGTTTTTACGTTTTATACCTGCAAAAAATATAATAAAAATCCAAGCTTGTTTCATATAAATAAATCATAACAAAATATATTAACTGTCAATAAATTTAAATTTAAGCAATTCTATATTTTCTATGCTATTATTTATGATAAAATAGAAACAATTTATTTTTATTAATTTATTTAGTGGATAATATTGCAATCTTCAAAAAATTTAAATTTCTCATGGTCTCGATCAGAATTAAAATAGTATTCAAAGAATTGGACGTAGAATCCAAGATATGGGTTCTTGTTAATTCTTCTATCATGACAATTTCGGACCTTTCAAATTTTTTAAAAGAAAAAATGCAAATTAGATCCCCTTATATTAATTTAAGTTTAGATGATGCTATACTTCCTTTAGATGAAGATATAAAAATTGTAAGAGATGGAGATGAAATAAGGTATGATAATGATTTTTTTGCAATTGCAATTATATTTATTTAGAATAAGATCCATTCACAATGAGAATACCCAAAATTCTAGTAATATTTTACAAATATAGAATTTATAAGATTTACTATAATTATTAGATGAAGTTTTTAAAGAGACTATTATTGAAAATTTAGACACAAAATTTTTAGCACTATCTAATCTAATTAATCAGCATTTTAAAGAATTAGAACCAATGACAAAGCTCAATGAATCTGAGAATAAAATTAGTAAAAATGATAAACTTAATGTTAAATCAAACAAAATGAAAAGGTTAAAAAATAATGTGGCAGAGAGTTTATTAAGCATTAATATTGAAAAAAATTCAGCACTTACAGTTGATGATAATATATTTAACAAAGTTTCTAATGAATCTTTACATTCAAAAAATAAAATATCAACCCCTGACAACAATTTAATATCAATTTTAAACAAACAAATCAAAGATAAAATTAAATTTATGAAAAAAAATAAGGAAATTATTAAAAAGGATAATGAATTTATCAGTGCTAAGATTATCAATAATGAAATACCAATCCAAAATAATTCTATGACAATCAATTCAAGTATCCAGAGTATAAATAACAAAATGGAAGAAGATAATATATCATACACTTATTTAGACACTTCAAATAGGATTTCTACAGCTAGATCAAAAAAGACAAGAATTGATAAAAAGTGGAGAAATAAGAAAAAGAGGGATTGCAATGCCAATATTGAAAATATACCAAATAATAAACATATAATATTCTCAGATTCTGACAGTGAAACAAATGAATCCAATCTAATGCAATCAATGAAAATCAAAAATCATGTAATGATTTCAAAACCTGAATTTTTGAAAATTGATGGAAATAATGTTGATACCAAAAAAATTGATTATAAGGTAATTAAAGAGCTGAAAAATGAGACATCAACAAATTTACTACAAAAAATTGCCAATAAAGAAATATGTCATCATAGGGATCAAGGTTTCAATAAATATAGAAAGCAATCTCATAGGGATAATCCACTAAAAGCATATCAGAAAAATGAATCTTTTGTTTTTAAAGTATGTTATTATGTATTTTTAGTTAAAAATTTGCTTAATATTATTTCAAATATAAATTTATAGTAAAAGAGAGTATTTTTCTAAATACATTTATTTTACAATAAAGTGATAATACAATTTTTTTTTACAAAATGCCATATAGTAGGCTAAAATTGTAATGATTTATTGGTATAAATTTTATTTTTAATTACAAAAAATTATAATTAGCCAATTTTATTTTATTTTAAAGCATGATTTATACAATATTTTGGTATTTGTCTTTCAAATAATGATTAAATCTATTTGCATAGAATATTAGATCATCCTTGTTTAGTTTATTTTAAACAAGCTATCACATTTTTTAAAACAAATTTAAAAGCTAAATAGGCCAACCTAGCTTAATTCTTTTAGTTTTTTGCACATTTTAAATTCAATTTGACTGATTTAACACTAGAGCACAAACCCTTATCATTCAGGTTCAATAGATTAAAAGAGATTCATTTTTATTTTAGACTATCTAAAACAAATAGTTAATCTTATGTAATTATTAAAATCTTATTTCCATTAAACTATTGTTCACCCAAAAATTGCAGAATATTGATGTTGACAAACTTCCCGACATTCCGATAACTGAATTAGATTTTGAATGCTATGAAATTATATTGAAAGACTCAGAAATAGATCCAAAAAATAATCAGGATTTAACATCAAATATTTTACAAACTACCAAGAAACCCAACATTGTTTCAAAATTACCCATCATAGTTGATTTAGATTCACCTATAATTGATCCTATAACTGAAGTGCCAAATATTCAGAAAACACCTAGATTGTTTGATAATTCTTTTAATAGTCAAAAAAATAAAACAATTTATAATAAATTTGCTGCTTCTAATTCACATCACGGTATTCAAGATATCCAAAAAAAGATTACAAACAAAGTAACTCAAAATGGTCATCAAGAAAATAAGCAACCTCCAAAAGCAGGCGATAAGATTATGTACAAAGTACGTACTAATTTCATTATTTTTACAGTATCTCTTTTTTTCAAAGATTCTTGAACTAGATGACCACTATAATCCCATTGTTTCCGATTTTAAGGTATTTTTTTAAAAAACAATTTTATTTTACAAAACTAATCATTTTTATCATAGGAGGCAATCATTTTAGAGTATGATCCAAGTAACAATTCTGTTGATCTAAAGCACACCTCTCATACTGGTTATAGCCTATTATTACTTCAATAAATATACATTAGTTTTAACAAAACTGGTTACTAAATTTTAAAAGCTTAAAAAATCCATGCTTTTTAATTGCCAGAATCATGTTCTAGCATATATAAAGTATTTACCTGTAATTTAGACAATTTTGCCACTGGCCTGGTTGAAATTTACAGGGTAGGAAATCTACAAATTCTCTAATTAAGAGTCCAACAATATCAGGTCTTTTAAAGTGATAAATCAATGCTAGAGATCTATATTTTAAAAATTCACTAAAATCCTGGCTAAATTTAGTATAGATTTTTATTTTTTAAAGTTCCTTTTTTTATTTTTTCGTATTTGATTCCTCTCCTACATTTCAGAACATTAGGTTTAGTTTGAAGTTATTTTCTTATCAAGTTTCAATTTAATTACTAAAATACACTTTAAATTGGAAACATCCTATCTGCAATTAAAAATAATAAAAAATTTTAGATAAAAACCTTGCCTTATTTACTTTTTTTAGCATTTTTCAATAAACTACTATGCATAAGTTTATTTCAGAGACATCCCTTAGCAACTAATGTAGGTTATCATCTGGTCCTTGTTTCAGGCTGGACTACAGTCTTTTAAAGATCATCCAGACTGCAGTCAAAAAACTGGTCTATTTATTTTGTTATTTTAAAAATATTTTGTTTTTACCTAATTTAATTCTTGTTTATTAGGACCATAAATAAGTGAAATGCCTTCTTTAACAAACTTATGGTTTTCATATTTTGCAAAATAAAAATGAACTAAAAATTCACAAATTTTAAAAAAAATTCCATTATGAAAACAAATTAGGTAATAATTATATTAATTGAATTTTAAAGCAAAATAATATTAATAAAAGACTAGTCAGGACCATAAAGAATAAAAAACCGGTCTGAACTATGCCCCCCCCCCAAAAAAAAAAATTTGTCTGGTTGCAGTTTAAGACAAATAGGATCCAACTGCAGACTTTCATTATTAGCAACTTGCAAAATATATTTTTATGGTGATTGAAATTTTTTAGGACCATAGCCTGTCTCAACTTTTTATAAATGGACTATGAAATTTATCTCAAAATTTATAGTTTCATTATATCAGCCTGAGCCGGGCTATTTTATTAATATTTTAAATATACCAGGACCTATAAGACCCCCCTTTAAGGAAAATTCCTAGCTAGGAAATATTTTGCTCTATAATACTAAAATAATCATATTATATTATAGCCAGTTCATACAAAACAATTTCATAGGCTAAGGCAGGATTTTTGTAAAAAATTTATAAGCTGAGCAAATTTGAAAAATTACAGGCCCAACTTGTGCAAAATCTGTAATAGACCAAAACAGGTCATGCTTTGCTAACATCTAACCACCCAATCTTGTTTATTACTTTCTTTATCAATATTAATTTCTATTTTATAACAGACAGCAGAAGAAGAGGAAAATTTGAAATTGAATCAGATGAAGAAATTTTTTCAAATGATATGGAAATAGTAAAAAAAATAAATAATACCATATAAAACTTTATTTTCGTAGATTAAAGTTGAATGGGAACGATTGATTGAGCCACAATTGGTTCATTAATGACTGTTGATATATTGTTTTATATATTTATATAATCTCATTCATGCTTTTAAATGTTATATTCATATAAATAAAAAATATTGCAACTATATATTTTTAAGTTACAAAATATCATATAAAATAATAATCAAATATTAAGGATACAAATTTAATAAGCTATAACTCTTTATTAATTTTTTAAATAATATATTATGCCAATAATTATAATATTAGATAAATTTTCTTTAAATAATTTTAAATATTGTCATCTTCCTTTGTAATGTTGTATAATTATTTACAATGAATTACAGCAGTAATAAGTGCTAGAACATTGAGCAAATGTATTTTATTGAATGTGGTTGATGTTTTAGCACCAACAACCAACTTGATTATTTTCATTATCATCATCAATAATAGAAAATGTTTTACTCTTACCTTTATTTTCATATAAAGCAGGTGTTTGTAAAATCTAAATAAAAGTATTAAATTTTGCAATTCTTGTAGTATACATTACTTTTTCAACTAGCTCTTCAAAGGCAGTATTAACTCCATCTTTAGTTTTTGCACTTGCTTCAATAGATAACATTGAATGCTTCTGAGCAAAATCAAAACCATCCTTTTGGGACACCATTCTATTTTGCTAAAAATATAATTTGATATTAATAATTAGTAATAGTACCTTATCAATTTTATTTCCAACTAACATTTTTACTATGTCACAATTGGTCGAATAGAGTTCAAGTTCATTTAGCCATGTATCAAGTTTATCAAATGACTGTCTATTTGTTACATCATAAACTAGTTAGATATTTATAATTGTTGTTTTAAGATATAAAACCTAATATTACACCATGAGCTCCTCTGTAGTAACTTGGTGTTAATGCTCTAAATCGTTCTTCACCTGCAGTATCCTTAATTTTTTAAATATAAATAATCTTGAAAATAAGCATTATTATAAAAATATTAAATTTATGCTATATCTCCTTACCCATATAGCTAATTTAACTCTGTTATCATTAACATCCATAGTCGTAACTTTAAAATCGACCCCTATAAATTTAGGTAAATATATATTAATATTTTATATTTTACCTATTGTGGCTCCTTGTTCAGGATCGAATTTATCGTCTGTAAATCGAAGTAATAAGCTAAAACATGTTATAAATTATATTATTTAAAATTATTTACCTTGATTTCCCAACACCACTCTCTCCTATAATGAGAATTTTAAGAGTTGCTATTGATTGGCGATCTTCCATATTAAAAAATGGATTGATGATCTCTTTAGGCTGATAAATTTATCAAGGTATTTGATTGAATTCACTTGAAATTTCTATAAAATTATTTTTTAAACTTAATTAAAATCTTCTTTATACTTTTAAAGTTTATGAAATAAATAAACTATTATCAGTCGTTATTTTTTAAAATATATTAAACATTATAGCGATTGCTTGGTTTAATTGGGTGTGCCTTGACTTCGAAATGAGGTAATATAGATTATTTTGACTATTAAGATATATATATGGTAAAATAGTGGCTGTTAAATGCACAGGGGAATTCTGTGCTATGAAATAATTCCTCTTTCCCGCATAAGGAGATTCTGTGATGTGAAATAGGGGTTGTTAAAGGTACAAGGGTATTCTGTGGTTAGAAATAATGTGTTAAAGACCAGAGAATTCTATGGTTAAACGGGGGATTTTGTGAAGGAAATAGAGATATTTTTTGTGAAAATAAAATAATATAGAGAGTAATTGTTGGTAGGTCAAAAAATGAGGCGGAAACAGTGGCGTAGCTACGGGGTGTGGTATTCGGGTTTGGACCCCTCCCAGAGCAAAATTTTTTTTGAGATTATACGTTCAAAAGACTTAAAAGTGATTTTATATGAATTATATTTTTCTGGTTTTGATGTTTGTGGAAGGATATTATATTACTATTGAAATTATTCTGGATAGTATTATTATAAAGTCATTGAGAATATTCTACTAAATTATAATAACACATATTATTGATGCATTTAAAAAATATATTTATTATATATTATCAAAGATATGGTTATGATTTGTAAGATAAACCCGGCCGAAGGCCGGACAAAAGGGCCGAAGGCCCGTTAAAGGGGGTCTGCCCCCCAGCTTTTATATGTATGGACCCCCTCTAAGGAAAATTCCTAGCTACGCCACTGGGCGGAAATGATTATAGCTGATGAGGTTTTGTAGAAATTTTTGGTATTGTTTTTAAAAATTTGTAATGGAGGACGGTATAAATTTATTGGAGAAATATGATGGGAGGGTGGGGGGGGGGCAGTGTGTTTGAAAGGCCAGAGTCAGCGTTTGATATTGAAATTTTTGCTGAAGAAAATGCTCCATGGGTTTTAGTCGCCGATTGAGGATTCTTGGCATATGGTTTTGAACAAGTGTGTGGTATGGACCAATATGATATGGGGCCCGGTTGAGTATTCCCAACGTATGCTATCAACAATGTGTGTAACCGTCCTATATGATTTGAGGGCCGGTATAGTATCCCAGCATATGTTTGAGGGAATAAGAGAAAGTAATGGAAATTAATTGGGGATATTTTTGGCAGATTAGGTGATACTGTGGTGTATTTGAAAAAGTGTTGAATAATTTTATGGAAATATATAATTAGATGGAGGTTAATGTTGAAGAAGTTGAAATTTTTTTTGGTTATATTTTTTAAGTTAATAATTGCCATTTTTTTGTAAAATATATAGTAAAAGATAAGGACATACCGGCGAAGTATAAATGAATATACTGTGCGATTTCCGTTATATAAATTTATTAAATAACAAACGTTTTGTATTGAGTAAATTAAAAAATAAACGTTTTATATTGGATGAATTTTTAAAAAAAAAGATGCTAGAGTGTTTATTTTTAATGTAAAAGAATAAAATAGTTTTTTTTTTGTTTGGAGCTTCCTATTTAAAATTTTACACTTAGGAAATATAATTTTTCCAAAATTGTCTAATATTAAAATCGTGATATATATAGGTTTTAATTTAAAGGCAAAAAAATATAAAGGTAAGGTTCGTTTTTCAAAATATTATAAAGTTGATCTAGGTTTTGAAATTTTAAAAAATGTTTGTGTTATTGTTTTATTCGTCCAATTATTAATAAAAGTAATAATTTCTTAAATCTTCAAAGTATAAAGACTTTCTCAATCTTCAAAGTGTAGAATACAATATTATTACAGATAAATTTTCTTTATTTCATTTTTAAATCACACAAAAACAATAATAAATAAACTCCCATGAGAACGAAATATTTTTATTTAATGAAAATACAATGTTAATATATTGATACCTCGAATCTAATATAATCCTTATTCTAAAGAAAAGTGTAACTGAAGATATTATATAGCCTACATAACCCAATAAACGAAGCTTTATTGAAAATTGACTTTTCCAACGCTTACAAGACTCTTTCCCGCTACACATTCTTACATTCCACTTGCTCCTATTTCCCTGCTTAAACCAGATTCTTTTTCTCTGGCTACCAATCCCCAACAATTTTACGATTCAATACGGATACTTTCAGTCGAGGGTATTCAACAAGGATCCCTAGGATCCCTTTCTTTTAGTCTTGGAATATATAACATAATAAAATCAATAAACTCTTCTTGTACTCTATCCCTTCATGCTTGGTACATCGATCAATAAAATTAACAAAGCAGTTAACATAATTCACGAAATGGGCACTGCCATCGGATTCTTCTTAACCCGTGATAATCCGGATTCATCCAATTGAATTCAAACTCTACAAACTCATAATTTCCAATTCACTGCTCTTAATGTATTACCACATCTAGGTTCTACTAGGATGACAAAAGGCAATTTGTACCTTTCTTCACTCCACATGATGACATCACCCTTAAACTGGAGGAGATCTTTACTCTTCTTTTTTCGCACAAGTCCTTTTCCTTAATAAATAATTTCTTTTTTACACTAAGGATACTTTATGCACTCCACCCATTTTTAAATATCCTTCTCTACAAAAAATATAGAAAAGCGGAATAAAAGACCTAATAGAACAATATTAAACCAAGATTCATCGAATCCGCTTGGGACCAAGATTCGCTCCCTACCAAATCCGGTGAACTTGGCATTAGATCTCCTAATGACCTAGCAATAACCTCTTTCAAATCGAGTAGTATCTTATCAAAGCAAATAACCAACGCCCAACATTCTAAAAAAGACTTTTTCTTAATTGATGCCATAAATACGTGGAAAACTCGGATCAATGTATTCTCATACCCCACCAACCTATAGACCAAAAGACTGGAATGCTCCGGTAGTTGCTGCGTTGAAACTCTATTATCTAGCATGCAATTTACTGACCGCACCCTATTCTCTTCCCTGCTCAATGGTACTGTGCATGAGTTTCTCGAGGTTCCTTCTGTCATCTTCAACTTTCTAACAACATACTTATCCACGCCTTCGGTATTCGTCTAAATGGCTCAATCACCTACCCTCACATCTGTTCAGGTTGTAACTCTCCCGTTGACCCCAATAGAAGACATAGTTTACTTCGCTCCTGCAATGGTTTATTAAATTCAATCATCCAACATGCCTCTAAATCAGCACAAATCCCATCCATGAACCCCAGGGTCTTTTCAGATATGATGGTAAAAGACCTGACGGTATCACTCAAATTTCATTAGGGAGGCCAATTGTATGGGACTATTCATGTATTGCCCCCCCCCTTTGCCCCTATGACCAAGCCCTCAACATCATTGACCAGAAGGAACAGCTTAAAACCTCGAAATAATCAGAAATGACAAATTGCTATTGTTTCATTCCCAATCATTTCAACCACACTTGCCTTAACTTTTTCCAAAAATTTAGGATCTCAAATCAAACACTCAGAAGAATCTCGAGAGGGGTTTTTCTTCAACAAAGGCTGGCCATATCAATCCTTTAAGCCATTACATCAACTTCAATGGTAGTCTACTAGCCAAAAAGCTATCCTAGACCCTTTCTACTTCTTATTTTTTTCCTTGCTTTATACCATCCCCGGTCTTCATTGCTATTTTAAAAAAATTTCGTACATATTCCTTTTGTCCCATTTTAATATATACTATAATTATACGTTCATATATTCATTATCTGTTATTTTAAGTAATTAATATAAAGTGAATAAAAGTAATTAATTAAAAAATTTTTAAATTAAAAAAGTATATTAGTTTTTCTATAATTACAAGTTATAATATGGGTAAAAGTTTGAATTATTGATTAACGTGTACAAATTTCCAAAAAATTGCTCTTAAATCAATTAAGACTTTATTAATGAAAATAGTTTTAGTAAAATTTATAAGTTTTGATTCCCTACTTTTACAAATTTGATAAAAAGGTCGCATTGCGCTTCACTAAATTTTAGATCCAATTTGCTTCTGCTTAAATTCAAATGTTTACATAAAAAGTATTCCATTTTTTATCTTAACGCTTTACCCACACTTGATTTTTTGTTTTATTCTTATTGAATTTAAGATATAATTGTCTGAATTCGAATACTGTTTTTCAGATTTTAATTTTAGATGTGCATAACTTGTTTCAATATCTAAATTAAGTCTTTTTACTATAGTAGTGAAATGATATATACCAAGATAAAGGCGTAAATTTATAACTTTTCTACTAAGAAAATAAAATTTTTAGATATATATCTTTTTTTATCACCGTTTCAATATCTAAATTAAGTCAATATACTCGAGCTTAATGAAAAAGGTGTAATTTTATCTTGAAATTAATATGATAAATATCCATAATAATCGATTAAATGTTACTACTTTTATGATGAAATACACAGAAAAAACTCAAAAACAAAAATATAATATTCTTTAATTTTTAACTCCTCGGTGGAGGGATAATTAAAAAAACTAGAATTCAGCTAAGAAATTATGCTAGAAGGTTCGTTTAATTAAAACCATGTGTATTAGATTGGAACTGACTCATACAAGAAAAATATATATGAAAATTTGACTCCTGTAACTGAGCGATAAAATAAATTGTTTCCAATGATTTTTCCCAAAAATAGATTTTCATATGGCTTTATTTAACTATATAAATAAAAAATAAATTTTGATCATTTATTAGAATAGTTGTATGGTAGTTCGAATTTTAGTCGATATCCAATGGCTAATCTGAAAACTATGATTTCAGATAGGGTATTTTTTAAAAAAATATTGTAGCCCAATATTGGAAAAAATAGAATCGTGTGATCGATCCGAATTTACCCAATAACTTATAAGTTTTTCTAATAGTAAATATTTTAGTCATTGACCCTCCTAATTCATGAAATTCAATAAATCGTATGATTGGATATTAGTTTTTAAATAATAGAATTAAATTTTATTCAATATTTTAATTTTGAAAGTAATTATAAAAAATATATCCACAAGAAGATGATTTTAATTATCTTACATAATAGTAGTATTGTTTTTTCAAAATCTGCTATAACTAACCATATATATAAATGTAATGTCGCGATATTAACTTTTTCTAAAAAATTATGTCCCCGTTTTACTTTTTTATGATTCGCTTTAGAGTTAAAATTAGGGATGTACCGATATTTTATATCGGATCGGATCGGCCGATATTTCGCCCATTTTAAAATATCGGTTATCGGCAAATATTATAAAATTTTCCGATCCGATATAAAATGGCGCTTTTAACAAAATTTAAAAAAAGTTATATCTAAAAATCCATTTATTTTTATAAATAAAATCGGAATATATTTTTATGCTTAATTATTTTAATAGTAATGATTAGTTAATAAACATTCTGCAATATAGTTATTTTTTTTCGCATTCTGTTTAAAAAAGTGTTCATTAATCTCTTCAGAATCTGTTTTTAGTGATACTAGTGATATTAACAGTCCCCATCACCGCAGACCGATCTCTGATAAATTGGAAATTTTGGTATTTCTAAAAAGAAATCTTCGATAAATTAATTTTATATATTAATTTCAAATTTCAATATATTTGTTTATTACTAATTATGTAAATAGATTAATGTTATTACTTATTATATAAATAAATAATTGCAATTGAATTGAATATAAACTATAACTGATCATTATAATATATTTAAATGACATATGTTATGGTATAGTAAAATTATAGATGTTGTACTAATAAAAAGAATATTAAAAATTAAAACCGGTATCTTTACAGAATACAAAATTAGATATGATATCGGATCGGTTATCGGCCGATATCAATTAAATATCTGGAATATCGGATCGGCCTCCAAAAAGTGGTATCGGTACACCCCTAGTTAAAATTTAATAAAAATTATTTCTTTATCCCTGAAATTTAATATATAGAGAAGTACCTTAAGTGGATAGCTGATCAAGAACTAAGAACATCAGAGAATATGATAAAAAAAATATTATAGAAATTTCGAAAAAAAAACTCATTTAATAATAATGTTTAAAAGTTAATTATAAAATAAAGATAATTTTTAAAAGCCCATAAGTTAAACCATTATAAAATAATACAATTTTAAAAATATGAGGCTATTAAAATTTGACAACCTATATCTACAAAAAGAATCTCTAAAATCCATCTGGAAATTTTACATTAAAAATACAAATATTCTAATTATCATATCACATCAAGGATTATTTAGCTATGCAATGCCAAAGTTCTCTTTTGTGGTTTATTTATAAATTCCATCATTATAACATTAAATATAGAGATATACTTTTTAAAACACAAATATTGGCGTGATTATTATAAGGGAAAGGATCCTTCACTTTTTTATCTATAAATTTCATATATCTCAATTACATCAGATTTAATAATTTTATTTTTCTCATTCATATTCTCATTCACCCAATCTTGTTTTCGACTCCGTTATATAAATTTGTGTTAGTAATGGTATCCTTGAGTGTAGAATGCCTAATATTAATAAAAAAAATTAATGAAATTTAAGATTTTATATAAATGTATAATTTATTGATAATAGCATGGTATTTAGCACACTAACATTTTATTTTTAAAAAAATCATTACCAACCTATTTTTTATATTTTCGCTCTGACGGGATAAGCCGAAATTTCGACAAGAAGCCAATTTGTTTTCTATTGCCTTTTGTTATAACAGAAAATTTATTAATATTTTTAAATTCATATAAATAAATTATTTAGCCTCCTTTACAAACAAAAATAATCATTTAAAATTTGTGATTTCAACAAAGTGTATTTTATAAGTAAATTTGCGTTATTTGTTAATAATAAAATGTCGATTACACAAAAATTGTGAATTCCGAAATCATTTTTATGGTCAAACTCATAAAAAAAGACCTCTCCTTACTTCTAATAAAAAAAATAGTTATTTCATAAGATTCCTCACCCCTGTTGCAAAGAATACTCAAAAATTACTATAAATGATAATATTTTTTGAAAAGATTTGTATAATTTAAGATTATTTTTTTCAAAAATTATAATTACCCCAACTTTTTTGATAAGTTCACTAACTAAATTGAGAGCATTGACCCTGGAGGAGGGTGTAAGAGGTGAATTAGTATACGAATTATTAGGAGTAGTTGACGAATTAGAACATATTCCTATTTTAAATATTTGTATATTTTACCGATCAGTTAGTTCAAAAACATTAAACTGGTTTGATAATATTAAGAATTAACATTTCATTACAATATGTGTAAAGTGACGTATATATAAAAGTACGGTTATTTATTATTAGAAAGAAAGAACGAATAGCATTACCTTATTCGGGGAACAGTAATCTCCAGTAGGTAATGCGTTACATTTTTTTTTAAACGAAATTACTCATTTTAAAAAAATCATATTTAAAAAAAGGCAACTGGTTCTAGTCGCTTTCAATATTTTCCAATATATATATTTCGATTTGTGAAATTTTAATTAAAAATTATCCCCCAGCACCCACCCCCCTCCCCTCACTCTAGAAAATTAGTTCAATATGTCTTTATAGACCATTTCTTTTAAAGAATCATTATAATAAAAATTTTTGAGGGTACTTAGAAGAAAAAAAAATGAAAAAACAAAATTATATTTTTAAAAATATAATAATCCGGCCGAAATTCTTTAAAAAGGAAACCTAATAAAAATATTCCGTAAAATGTATAAGAAAAAAAAACCATCCAAAGATAGACAGCTTGAGTAAGTTACATTTTACCCAAAAATAAAATAACTACTGGTTATCATTAATTTAAAACAGTTATTATAGCTCTCGTAAAAATGTAACTATTTACAGCCCTACAATTTATATGTGAATTTACTTTATAGTATCTGAAATATAGATTATATATCAAATAAATGATGAGTTTCAACCTGCTAATGATTTAAGTATTTGTCGAAACATATCTACACCAATCAATAAGATTAGGAGTAATAATCTTCGCTATAAATATTTAAAGATACCCTAAAGAATCTACTCCTATTATGCTAACAATATTAAAATATATTTTTATGACGATATTTAATGAAATTCAAGCGGTATTTAGAGCACTCAACATTCCAAAAAAGTTATGCTTAATTAAAAACAAGTTTAGAACTGAAATAGAATCTAGCTAATTTGTAACTAAATAGACCGATTAAGACAGATCTTGATATCTTAACAATGACCATACAGTGATATATAAAGATATATGTGGTGTTGAATAGAAAGAAGAAAGAGGAAACTGAGAGCAATCATTCATGATGATCATGCGAGATTTTTAATGATATTATGATGATCTTAATTTGAATATTAATTTTTACTTACTTTTCTACTTTTTAATTTATTTGTTTGGAACTTTATGATGATATATGGATTATAATTAGAAACAATAAAGGTTAATTTTATTTTTACATGTTCGTATATACATATAACATACATTACTTAAAAATCTTCGATACTCCAGCCACTCAACTTTTAAAGAAAACATTACCTTATTTGACAAAGACCAATGGGCGGGTTTTTAACTAAATGCCTGTCCACCCAAATTCAACTCGCCCGCACAATCTTTGAAAATTATTTAATTGGTTGGTTCGGCTCTTTAATTTATTTAATATACTTAAATTTAAACTTAAAAATTTTTTCACTACTATGATATATATAAAATAATAATAATTTTTTACATAAACACAAGTCCATTCTATTCATTTCCCCGAAAAATATTTTAAATTCACTGGCCCACTCGTCCATTGTTTTAAAATATTTTTAACCGACACATCCGCCCGTAATATGGGCAGACCTCTAAAATAAATAGATAAAACAATCCTTGAACCTTAAATTTAAAAAGGGGGCTTCAGGTTGGCGTTCAGTAAAATCTGAAGGGTTCGGGTTTCCAGATCGGTACAGACTCTGGAGTTATAAAAAGTGTTATTACTTAAAGATTATTTAGTCCGAAGGTCTAATTTTTTTATTAGTGTAATAATGTTTGTAATGTATGCAAAATTTAGTTTACCTTTCACGAGTGTTCTAACTAAGATTTTAAAATCATTTTTCATCGGTCCAAATTTTTTTTTTAAAATACTATAATTTCATATTTTTATTTTGGGCTAGTATTTGTTATTGATAATAAAATATAGATTTTTTTGATGAAATAATTTTCTAAATATGAATAACATTTAAATTTTCAATGTTTTAAAAAAAATTTTTTTTTGATTAACTCTATAAACTATTATAAAAATTTTATTAATGGATCAATTTATAAAATAATTATCATATTAGAGATGAATATTTTTTAAAAATGTATCTTATATAAGTATCATGTCATGGTGAATAAATATGCCTAAGATATAGCAACTTAAAGTTTGGGTTCATACTCATCCCCCTCCCCTTTCTTATTCCATGAATGATCTCAAAATGATAATTTTATTATTTATTGATATTTATGTTTTATATTTTTTAATAATAATAATGATAAATAGTGGGAAATTATAGATTCTATACACAATTCTAGTTTGCGGAAAGATTTAAAAAGTGTAATTAATAGTTGAAGAAATGAGTTTTTTTTATTCAAATCAAATAGCGAAATAAAATATATATCTTTTTATGAAATTTATAATATAAATATATAATGGCTTCTCGCCAAAAAAAACCTAATTTAGCGGTCGTATTTGAAATTATCTGGCAATTACTATTAACATTAGGACTAAGCGAATGAGTGAAAAATTTCGAAGATTTTTTCGTAGATGAATTGTTGAGTTTAGTCGAAATAGTATCTATGTTCTCAACAATGTCCATTAAAATGTCATTTCGGTTGGCTATAGTAAATAAAAATAAACTCAGTCAGTCTATGTCAATAATTACAATGTTTTTTTTGAAATATTATTAAGCGTAACTTAAATATCCTATTATATATAAAATAATTAATGGTAATTGTAATTGCTTTTAAAGGATATTTATGTGAAATTAATGTTTTTAAAAGATATATTTAATTTTATAAAATATATATATATGAACCTGTCGTTGGCCATATATTTTATTTACTTTATGAAAAAGAAATAAATACAGGGGCAACAAAAGGATTCATTTTGTTTTTAATCGAAAAAGATAACTATTATTTTGTATTGGGGGGTTTTAATCGAAAATTATCGTCACGATTATTTGAAGAAATATATGTTGAAAAATGATATTAATCATAGTTATGACAATACATAATAAAGGAATTTAATCAATGATTATCTGAAAAAGTAATATTCTACGGATTAAATAAGGACAAATAGTAATTTAATTACTAAATACATTTTATACAATGCTATTAAATGATTGATATATTATTGAAAGGAAAATTACCACATTTTTATTAGGCAAGATAAAAAAAAATATTTATTAGATTTGTAAAATGTAGCACCACATTGTAAGTAAAGTAAACGTCGAAGTTTAAAAATAAGGCAACGAATAAGTAACGCAATAACGTTTAAAGTAATAATAAATTTATATATTTATTTACATTTCATTATATCATTAACTACAAAAAGTAATTCTACTTTTAGACGTAACTATATATATTTTATTTTTTTAAAATTACTTAAGGATAAGTTTCCTTGGCTTTCATCTTTTGGAGATTCGTTAAACGAACTCGTAGTGCGAGTTTTATAATCGCGAGGCGAATATTTATTTTGCTGTTTAACATCCAATTCTAATTTCAGTTCTTTTTGTAATAAGAGAAAATTAAGATATTATATTTATATTTTCTGATCCTTTTTTTTAAATAAAAAAAAATGAACTCTAGATTTGATTATTCTCCAAACTATTAAAAAAAAAATTATTGTGATATTTTTTACGGCATTTTAATAACGTAGCCTAGTGTTATTAAAAAGCTCGTTTGGAGCCGATTTTTAAAACGGCTAACTCAATATTTTAGCAGAAAAAATAGTGCCTAAGTCTAGATATTTGGCTAATACAAGTCTAAACCTTTGTGCCTTCTATGAACTAAATTTTCAGACTCGGATAAAATTATTCTGGATAAAATAATAAGTTAGCCATTTTTAAAAATATAAGCTGTTTAACAACAGCTATGAAGGTTTGGATATAAAAAAAATGAGATCATATATTTTTTGTTTGGTTTATAACTATTCAAGTAAAAATTTTTATGATAATAGTGCTAACTGCTAACCATGATTTATCAAAATAGAGAATAAGATAATAAAGTAGTTAACGAAGCGTAAAGGCCCCAAGAAATCACATTTAAGTTGTAATAAAATATTTCATAAAAATTACATTTTTAAACTAATTTAAAAATTGATATTATTTTTTTAGTTTTGTTATTTTCTATTTTTTTTTTCATGTACAAGTTTATTTTTTTTTATAAAAAACGTGGCACCAACCTTTAGCTTTATCCTTGAGTCTCTGCACCGTTTCAACTAATTGATCTTTTTCGCCCAACTCTGATTCCAGCAGGGCGTTCCTTTCTATGGCTTGATTCAACCTGACTTCAAAATCATCGAGAGAAACTATAGCGGCCCTGTATTATATATTTTTTTAAATGATGCATGTAAAAAATATTAATAAGTAAATAGAAAAGTACATTTCGGGTTGTATTTGACGAAAATTAATCTTAATTTGCCAGTTAACGACAACACCTTAAATTCTTTGATCTTATTATCTTATTACTTAGTTATATAATTTTAGTAATAAATATGTCTCAAAAATTCAGTTAAATACTTATTTTTCAATCAACTCCACAATCGCGTATATTCTAATAAATTATATAATAAAATCCGTATCGAATTTGATATATCAAATAATTTATAATTTTTTAAAAAAAAGAATATCTTCTTTAATTAAGGCTATGAACCCAAATTAGGGTTCAGAATTAAATTGTTTCGTTAGACAGTTTCTACTAAACCCAACAGGGACCAATATATATAAACAACCAATAGAACTTGGCGTAATATGGACCTGGGGTAGGTTCAGGAAAATTTGTTCCGATTAAGTTTCTGTTATCAAAATTTACATTAAATAGAGTTTAAAATTCTAAACCCTTTAGGGTTCACAGTCCTGGCTATTAATAGTGGCGCCAATTAGTGTCTAAATTTAATAATTATCGTATCCTAAATATTCTCTGCTTAAGATAATAATAATTTGATCGCGCTTAATGAATTATAAGTTATTAACTGTGTTCATCGTAATAAGAAATAAACACAATATAAATAATAGTATTTTCGATAGTCAAGCATCTTTTAATACATCGTGGAAATGTCTCCCCATCATAAAAAAATAAATTACATTATGTTGGAGCGCTTGGTAGAATTTGAGTATGAATCAATTTCGCCCTAGGATTTAATGAAATATATTTTCCTAAGGTAGCGCTTTAACCCGAAAACAAAGGGTTTTAGTCTCAAGGTTTTCGATTCAAAAGAGAACTCAATCCTAAGGGAAGTCGGAAGAAAAAAAATCGACTTGTGGCGAAAGGCTCGGAATTTTTTAGACACACCTTAAGAATGAGCCGAGTTTGTAAAACACCCGGGTTTCGTCAGGATACCATATAAATAAAAAATTATGGCTATTTTGGCATGTGAGCATTAGAGGTGTGCAATGCTCGGCCCGTGTCTGAGAAAAATTTATTTGATCCGGGTAAAAATATTGATTAATTCTGATATTTGATAGTTGATAATCTGGTGCAGAATTTTAACACACTCCCCAATATTATATATAATTGCGTTTTTTTTTCAATGACATATATTTGAGGTTAGGTATTGTATTTAAGGATACCGGACTGGGATAAGCAACCTTAGTAAAAATTGGAAATGTGCCAGATCAATACAAATTTGACCGGTCCAGTCCGGTAAAAATTTTTTGCCAATTGCAGACCTCTAGTGAGCCTATATTAATAATTCGCGCTATGTCGGGTAAAATTGGATAAGTGCAAAATGATGTTTTTAATTATATCTTGCAAATTTCTTCGAGTAAAAGAGGTATTCAACAAAACCCTAAAGCAATAACGGATACTAACTGTCAAACCATATGAAGTATCATGCTGATATTCTTGTTATATATATATATATATATAAATTCTATATGATAAAACGAACCTTTTAGCCCTCTCAAGATCGTCATTTGATTGCTCGAGTTCTCTGATATAGTTTTTCAGGCTTTCTTTGGCGTTTATATTTTGGGTTAATTGGATATTCAATTCCGATATTTCTTGATTGTGTTGAGCGTTGAGTTGATCGAATTTGCGCTGTGTTTTTGTTTATTCGGTATAAAAGAAAAATATTGTTTACGTAATGAAAAACATTTTTAAAATAGTTTATAATAAATTATAATTATTATTATAAAACTTAAAAGCCTACTACCGTGTGTTAAGGCCACTAGGTAAAAGGTATTTTTAAAATAATATGACCTTCTGAGCAAATATGTGAGATATCATCATATTATTGTTTTATATATTACATTTTTAACATTTTTTTTTTGATGATTAATCAAAAAAATATGTTCATAATATTTTTAATTTTTTTTTATCAATTTATTTGTATTTGAAAGATTATACGTGCAAGTAAAATGTCATGTAGAAAAATACTACTTACTACTTTGGAAATGAAAAAAAAAATTCATTATTATAAATAAATTAAATTATAAAAATTAAATTGTGATTTAAATTTTTTCTTACTCGATTAAATGTGTATAAAAGCAACAACCCTCCTAGTTTCAAACAATTTTAAGCGTGAAATTTTCGATTAACTTTAAAATTATACGAGTTAAACTTAAACTGCACCTAAAATTTCAGGGTAAGATTGTCTGAAATTCATGGGATAGATATTATAATCTTAGCGAAATACAATTCCTATAAAATTAGGTATTTTAAAAAAAAAATTTTAAATGTGCACTATAAAAATATTTAAACATTCCACCATATCCATATCGGATATTGAAATCCTTAATACTATCAAAGGTGACAAAAAAAATGTTATAATACTTTGTAATTTTGTGATTCGTTATATAATTTAGAATTGTTAATTTTGAGCTCCTGATTGTTCCGTTCCAAAATTTTAACGTGAGATTCTAGCTCTTTCTCCAATTCCGCACTTCCTTGTCGAAAATCGTCGATTTCTTCTTGCAATTCTATGAATCTGTATTTTTTTTATTTTAAACGGATTCGGATATTAACATTTTAAGTTATAAGGCTATATTATTAATATATTCTGTGTCAAAATTTCGATGATATGAATTGCTCGCGCGATTTAATTTCCAAGATTAGCAAATATAACTATCACTTGTTGTTAATTCAATATAATTATAAATTTAAGGTTTATCGCTCGTAAATTTTTCGTTTTTAATTAAAAAGATGACCACCAAGATACCGAATAACCAACCGGCATCATACGCGGCGTTTTGATTAATGATCCCAAAATTATTATATTTTACGTTAAGCGATTTTAAAGCTTCATGCCGATCCGATTTCCAAAAAATGGTAAGCCGTCCTCAGTCCGGTCAAATCATTTAATATCAAGCTTCAGGCTGATATTGTCATAACCAAGGGCTTATTAATTATCAACGTTGACAAAAAAGGAAACCGGTTTTCGAGAACACCGGGTTTGGTTTTCGAGAACACCGGGTTTGTTAAAATAGGCGCGGTTAAATATTGTTGGAGGTATAAGCGAGTTCAAAACCAAGCGCCGCATCCTTCAAAATGATCTTATTAGATTTAAAAGTCTCGCCATGATGAAAGAAAGAAAATGGAGGAGGCCTTGGTTTCGTTAGTGAATACCTAAAACGAATTATTTGTTTGATTCGTATTTTACGAATACGATTAAGGAAAATCTATTATCTTTCGAATAATTTATTATCCGATTCAGGAGCCATCCACGTGGTTGACAATATTTTCGATTAACATGGTTTTATATTTGATATAATATAATCCTGCTATTTATTTTTACTATGAATGCAATTTTGATTATCAGAAGCCTGATAATTTATATTTGACAGCCTCGACATTTCTAGCTACTATGCGCGATGCATAAATAAATTACTGAAAAACTTTATCATCGAAGCTCCATACAGTTCTTATTCGCTCATAAATATTTCGAAATTTACTGTAGCCAATGGGATAAGACGGCGAAACAAACATCGTCAAGCATAATTAAACTTCCTATCTCACAATATAAAAAGGTTTGTTAATCGAAAATAGAATCAGGCAAATGGGGCCCACAGACTTAGAGTTAGAGGTTCTTTTGATACGTACTGAATTTACTGGGTGCAGTGACTCATGAAAGGTTATTGTCAATAGCGTAACCAGGAATTCCTTTCCTGTATTTGGGTAAGATCTTCAAATCTATCAGATCTTTTCAAAATCACCCAATAAAATTATTAACAAAGATATTATGAAAATTTACAATTTTTTTAAAATGAGCTTTAAGAACTTTACTCTTCTTTTCTCTCCAGCCATTCCAATAAATATTAATAGTGCGTTGCAACGCTGCGTTTCAAAACGCAAGCAATGCATTTTAAATGCATTCGTTCAAATTGAGCACATATCCGTTTTTAATTTAAAATATTTTTTTTAAAACGTAAACCTGCTTGCGTTTTGCAACTATTTTCATATTTTGTTGAAGTGGAGAAATAAATTAGTGTTGTTAAACGGCTCGATTTGAGCCGATTTTTAAAAACGGCTAACTCAACATTATAGCCAGGAAAATATTGTCTAAGCGTCGAGATTTCGCCAATAGATGTTCAATACTATGTGGCATCTATGAGCAAAATCTCTAGGTTTTCATAATATTTTTCTGGCTAAAATATTGAGTTAGCCGTTTTTAAAAATCGGCTCAAATGAGCCGTTTAACAACACTAAAATGAATACACCATCAAAAATGTAAGTATAATTATCTTTAATAGTGCGTACAAATTGTGCGTTGCAACGCAGCGTTTCAAAACGCATATAAAAAAACGTAAACGCAGCCATGTATAAATTGATGCGTTAACTTTTATTTTTTCAATATGAAACATTTAAATTTAAAACAAAAAAAATTACTTGCTTTGTATTTACTACAAAGAAATAAAGGAAGGAAGAAGAGCAAGACATCCAAAATATTTGTTAAAAGAAATCTTTTTTCAGAATATATTAATATTAAAGGCGATTTAACACATTCGCAATTTTATAACTATACAAGAATGAGAAGATCAACATTTTCTTATATACTGGAGCTCATATATGAGGACATTAATCCGAAAGTTACTAATTGTAACAAACAAATCGATGCTGAGGATCGATTGTTTGTTACCTTAAGGTAAAAATAAATTTAATTTATTATTAATTATTTATATAATAGGTATTTAATAACTGGTGTATCATTTGCACAACTAGCTTATAGCTCAAGGATCTCAAAATCCTGTATAAGTTATATTGTGAAATCAGTGTGCACAGCAATTTGGAATGCTGCTGCACATATTCACATGCCTAGTAAATTTATTATAATAAATCAAGATTAATATTTACTTATCTTTAGATTTCCCAGGAATTCCTGCTTCAATCAGAAGAGGTTTGCCGAAATGTTGGAACCTGAAGAGATTATATGGAATCAGGCGCATCCTGATCAAAAGAAGACATTCGTTGTGATGGAACAACTTTCCATCATAGGAATTAAGTTAAATAATATATAATATTATTAATAATTTTATTTTTAGATTATCAGAAGAATATCCAGATTATGACTGGAGTGTTAACTACATAAAGAAACGTTTAAGAAATTTTAAGGATCAACTCAATAAAGAAAAATTAGGCAGACCTTCAGGATCTAGAGGAGGGGTGCATGAATACAAATATAAGAAATATATTAATTTCATGCAAGCCACTGTTGCTGACAGACCTACTCTCAGTAACTTTCAGGAATCCCCTCCTCAAACAAGGAAACCTGCTAAAAATGATTTGTAAATGCTTATGAATGTATTGGAAAAAAAGTCATCTAGTATCCAGTAATTCTTATTTTTATCTATAATTTATTTATCTTTTATATAGAATCTTTTTGGATAGCCTAGTTGATATATTGGAAGGTTACAATTCAGTAGGCATGTGAATATGTGCAGCAGCATTCCAAATTGCTATGCACACTGATTTCACAATATAACTTATACAGGATTTTGAGATCCTTGAGCTATAAGCTAGTTGTGCAAATGATACACCAGTTATTAAATACCTATTATATAAATAATTAATAATTAAATTTATTTTACCTTAAGGTAACAAACAATCGATCCTCAGCATCGATTTGTTTGTTACAATTAGTAACTTTCGGATTAATGTCCTCATATATGAGCTCCAGTATATAAGAAAATGTTGATCTTCTCATTCTTGTATAGTTATAAAATTGCGAATGTATTAAATCGCCTTTAATATTAATATATTCTGAAAAAGATTTCTTTTAACAAATATTTTGGATGTCTTGCTCTTCTTCCTTCCTTTATTTCTTTGTAGTAAATACAAAGCAAGTAATTTTTTTGTTTTAAATTTAAATGTTTTATATTGAAAAAATAAAAGTTAACGCATCCATTTATACATGGCTGCGTTTACGTTTTTTTATATGCGTTTTGAAACGCTGCGTTGCAACGCACAATTTGTACGCACTAAAAGAGGAGATAAAAAGGAAAGTTTTTTAGACATATCGATCAGTTTTTTTTAAAAAAATAATAATTTCAGGAATTTTCACGCGTATCCTTATCTTTTTAAATGAGTATATTTTTTATAGGATTGCTTTTTTATCCCCAATTTTTTTTAAATTAGAAAAAAAAATATATATAAATATTTATCTGATAATTCAATTCAAATCGTAAAAAAAACCATAAACAAATTTATAAGTGGAACATGAGAGATAGAAGCAAGCTTAGTGTAAAATGCCATATAATTTTTTTCCTTAAATATTATAACAAGATTTTTAATAAAAATGATAAGTTTTTGAAGGTCTAATTAAATGAATATAATAGTTGATTTGCGTAAATATCAATAATAAATAATTGTGTAAAATATAGGATAGAAATAACACTAGAATTTTAGTATTAATATAATCTCAAACTTTTTTAACCAATTAATATTTGTAGGGTTTATAAATTATTTATATCAAAAACTAATCAGGTGGAAAAATATTGATAAAACAAAAGTGAAATAAAATCGAACAGTAAAATGAAGAGTGAAATTTTTGAAAACTAAAAATAATTTTTATAAATCACATATATAAAAAAAATTTATTTAATAAATTAATCGATAAAATTTCAATAAAAATTTATATTTAAAAAAAAATTCTCAGCTAATAATAAAAAAAACTACAAGATAAACAAATAAGAATGTTAAATTACGCGACAAAAATTACGATAGGAAATATTGATTATTTTGAACATTCCTTAAATTTTATTTTAACGGTCAATAGTTACTTTATTTAAATAGTAGCTGATCAAAAGGTACTAGAATATAATTAATTTTTTCTAAGATAAAATTAATAAAGGTGGAAATAATATGAAAATAGAATTTACGAAAAAGGATAAGGGATAAAAAAAATGAAAACTAGGAAAGAGAAGAGTAGAAAGAAGGCAAGACATGGAAGATTATTCGATGGAAGAGATAAAACTTAGATAGAGCGAATAATTGCGGTAGCAAGTCTTTATCGTAAGAAAATGGATTCCTTAGGCTGGTCGGTTTTTTCACGAATCCGTTTGCCTAGTTCTTTAAAAAAAATTTGAGCTTTGCTACCGAATGTGGTGAGAATGGAGCAGACGATGAGTATGAATAAGAAAGAAGGGTCTATGGAACTGTTATGATGATTTTCTGGATTCTGCGAGGGCAACGACGTTGTGATTAGATGGTGCGTTTGGGTCAATGTAGATGGAGTCCCAAACCACCCCATGACCAAGGAATCAAGGACATTCCATCAGGACGTTTTCCATCGGTTCTAAAAATGCCGGTTAGTTCAAGATGGAATGCCTACGAATTTGAGGGCATGTAATATATCATTACATTTGGTGTGCCATGAAAAATGGCCTCGACAAAAGCGGCAATGTCTACCCTTGCGATCAACGCTGGTGTCGCAATGTTTACATCGGTACGGTAGAACATTTCCCCAATTGAGCCGTAGTCCAAATCTTAGCT